TTGTTCCTTTCTTACTTCATTTCCCCCTAGCTTCCTATATTTCTTCCTATTTCTTATTCATACCACACTCTCTCATTCGTCCTTTGCTTCATTTTCTCTGTTTATCCATACAGAATATCAATGATCTATGCATTTTGTGTTTTCTTAAATCGCCACTGTTCCCGCTGTTTCTCCCGATTTAATATTCTAGCTCTTTAATTGCATGCCTCATTTTTTTTTTTTTAGCTTTTATGACTTAAACACTCTTTTAGTGTGGCTATTAGACCTCAAACTATTTCTTCAAATTTAGCACTTTTATCCCCTCTATTTTAATTTGTATACAGGACTTTAGATATAAACTTAATATCTCTGTGCAGAGCGTCACAGCTGTCAAATTATATGTAAACTGTCATGATACATGCTTTACTTTTTACTTTTGGCTGAGAGAAGTTATTTAAAAAACACCTTGTTCATCTAAGCAACAATTCTGCAGTACTCCAGCAGTGACAAACAATGGCTGATGATTACAAGTTTTTATCTCACAGTTTAGTGGTTGTCAGTGCAAGAACGAAATATATTATTTTTTTCCCCCCTGCAATTTCCATTATAGAAAGGAAAGGAAACAACTATAGCTCTTTCATCCCTTTTGCTGTGGATTAAGGTGTAACTTAACCAAGCAGTCCAGTCGTCACACAGTCCTGGTGTGGCTAAGGCTAAAACAGACACATGTGTTTTTTAGCACTAATAGGTGCTGCATTGCAGTTATCCTGGCTAATGCACACCTGACAAGAGCTAGCTGAAATGACCGGGTGAGATGTCTCATGTCCTCTGCAATGAAATTGGATTTTAGGCCATAGTGACCAGATACCTCACATCCAGATCACTGGAAACTAAATAATGGGAATTATTTTTCAAAATCCCAAGAATACTGAATGGGCTTCCACTACTCCAACTGTGATTATGTGGTCATAAAAACAAGGTAAACGGCAGAGTAAACATTCTCTAATTTAGTGCTGAGTCAAGGAAAAAAAACCCTGTGAATACTAACACTGCTTTTTTCCCTAGACAACATTAGTGCAGAGCCGTCTGACCTCCTTTTGATTATGTGTGATTGAATTTATGTCAGCTGCTGTGAAAGAAAACTAGCATTTAATTCATGGGTCTTTCAACTGAATGCAAATTAGAATTGGTCAATGGGTTTTTTAATCCCTAGGTTTATAAAAATATTGGCACTTCTTTTGCAAAAGCACTTTTATAAAGGGTTCAGCCCAACCAGTGTGTGGGACAATTCATTCTTTTGTTATATTTTAAACAAGAATATGTTATGTTATTAGCTTAGTTCCCTTTAGCTTGTCTAAAACTGTGACTTGAAGGTGAGTTGAAGAGTTTTAAGTAATCAGCAGAAATCCCTGTAATTGCAACTGTAGCTGGATGGATGGGTGGATTCTATGGATCATGTGAGTTTTTGAAAATACAATGGGAATATTTTCAAGTCAAAACTTGCTGTTTGCTTGCTCATTTATGTCGACTGCCAAAAGACAAAGTCATTCGTGGTCATCATGGTCATCACCTCTATCTCAGCAGCTCGGCTTTTACCATGCACCAACTCCTAATGAGACTTGCCGCTTTGCTTTATCTCTTAAGCCAGGTGTGTCGGCCCCTGCTGCTTCCCGTGGCATCACAATGACAGCTTGGCCTTTAGCGGTAAAAGATGCTCCCTTGTTCTCACTAGCAGTGTGCTTTTTTAGCGGCGACACATGCCCCTCCTCTCCCCCTCAGTGCCAGCCTTTGAGGCAAATGTCAGCTAATTAAGGGTTACATGGTCGACCTTTCTTACCCCTGCCTGGGCCTGTGCCACTCGATCTGCCAGAGAGCCAAGTCTAATGCTACAGGTTCTCCTTGTCTCCAAGAGTGTTCAACACACACAGACACAAATGCACACAAAGCCACACAGAGAGCCCAGGTCAGTGTGGCCTTTGATATGCTAAGTCCTGCTGTGCTCCTATATGCAAAAGACATAATTAGATGAGACACCCACTAACAGTGAGGAGGCGCAACCCAATATGTGTAAGGTATTATTCAAACACTCATCAAACTTCATATAGCTTGGACTACTACTATACTGTTTCTGTCTCACATTATGAAATACACCCATAGCCTGATTACAGATCACATTTTTACATGAAAAACACTCAGGTCAATTGATTGTGTTATCATGATCCGATTTAATGCAAACACAATATGCTCCTCTTAGATGTCTTCATTTAGTAAAGTTGATGTCAGAACGAATGCTGCTAGATCATCAAGCAACAGTGGAACATTTGAGGAGGACTCTGAATATTGAATATCATTGCTCCAGTTCAAAGCATTTTAGAGCAGTGGTGATATGTTCCAGAGACAAGAGAACAGAGTGCAGTTGAGAACACAATGTACCCTTCCAGTCTTTGAATCCAGTCTGCAGCCACACCGGCACATCAGTCTCACACAGGGAGGATGGTAATTAGCAGAATATGACACTGTTTAAGTTTGTGCTTTTGTGTGTGCCTGAAGAGTTTTAGGTTTCAGTGTGTTTGCTAGAAGGCACCAAGGTGAAAAGGTGAAATGCAAAGAAGTGTGTAAGCACATAGGATATTAGGAGTAGTCCCAGTGGAGCAGACAGTGTCATGGTATGGAAAAGACAGATGATGGTGTCAAATACAGATAAATGAAAACAAGGAAAAGTGGAGAATAACGATGCTTTGAACTTTAAAAATGGCCAGGAGGGAAATCATTGGACACTGAACTGTTCTTTGAAGTTGCTGATTGTCATCAGGGATCTTGGTATTGTTGCAGATGCCTTTGTCACTATAACAGTTTGGGAATCAGCAGTCAGTGTTTCTCTGTTCAAATTAATTTCCACCCTGACAGTTAACTTCCTGTAGTTCTATGGATTCTTTTTTTTTAGTACACGTTACTTAGTCCTCTTGTTTTCAATGAAGAGGGGAAAAGAACACACTATATTAAAAACATAAAACTAAAAATAGGAACAAAATCTCCTAGCAAAAATAATCTGTGTGATAAATGAATATTTTTTTCCAGTTAAAAAATAAAATAATAAGATAAATAAAATGTAACGAAATTGAAACTTTCACTGGAAGCAGAATCTTTCTTTCTTTTTGTGTGCTTTATTTTATTTTTTGCTCATTAAATAATCTTTTAAATGCTTTGAATACCTCATAAGAGTAGAACAGGGCTATTTATATTTAAATTACAATTTAGATCTAATTCCACAAACATACATTGCTTCAGCAGGACAGTGAGGTGTTACTGTGGTGCTTCTTGATGATAAACATCCACCAGCTACTGTTGATTACACTTGTTAAGCTGCTTATTAACACAAATGTCTCATTGCTTGGCAGCAATTAAGTTTATCTGGGCATATAGAAATGTTTAAGACGACCTGCTGAGGTTCAAAGCGGGCTTCAGAATCGGGAAGAAAGGTGATTTAAGTGACTTTGAACACGGCATGTTTGTTTGTATTAGACAGGTTGGTGTTTTCCCACATAACCTTCTATAGTGTGTACAGAGAATATCTGAAAAAGAGAAAATATCCAGCGAGCCACAGTTCTCTGACTGAAAATGCCTTGTTGATTCCAGAAGTCAGAGGAGATTGGCTAGACTGCTTCAAGCTAACAGGAAGGCTCAAATAGCCACTTGTTAAACCAAGGTATGAAGAATCTGTGAGCACACAGGTCAAACCTTGTAGCAGTTGGACAAGAGCACACTGAGCGTCACTCCTGTCAACTAAGAAAATAATTCTGAGGCCACAGTTCACATAGGATCACCAGAATTGGACAATAGGTGATTGGAAAAACGGTGAGGAGTCTCGTCATCAGATCTCAATTCAGTATGCCATCTTGGATGGGAGGTTTGCCTCATGGATGTCAAATTTGCAGCAACTCCATAGTCCAGTACTAATCAGCTATAAAGTGCCTAGTAAGTGCACGTTGGGTTAAAAAACATATAAAAATGTCGCCCCCCCCCCCCAAAAAAACCCCGAAAAAAACCAAAACGTGGTAGAAAATAGGAAAAAAACAAGCACATGGTGTGGAGAAGCTGTGACTTTTGAAAGGGTCTCGGCCCACACCTGCCACTCTTCTCAGGTTTCAGGTTTCTGCTCCCACAGTTTAACCTGACGCCCCCCCCGTTCTCTCATAAATAGCTAAGATTCATTTGTGTTCATCACACAGCGAATGTAAGAGATCACCATTTTAAAGTTTCCTTATTAAATATTGTTTTTTGCTTAAGTGAAATGATTCAAAAGAACTGCATGCCAGTCAGCTGTACATTCACCTCCTTTTTTAAGCAGATATAAGGCCTTTTTAGGATAAAGAAGAGAAGAATTAAGTAATTAATATGAGTAATCTCAGCTCCTTGGCAGAGATGACAGTGCCACCTACAGAAACTCAAACGTCACCAGCAGCAAATAAGACATCAGAGTACCACCCACGCTGTTTTATTCACAGGTGAACTGCGGGAATTGCTATGCACACCAGAGCCTTGTGCGCTTATCACAGTGGATGACGCAACACACCAACGTTTCAGATTTCACAGATTACTATTTTAAAGAAGACGTTATCACACAATTCCCCTGATTGCACTAAAATGACAACAGCTTCAAAGTTATAGCCTTAGTTGGATAAAATGTTTAATGTGAATGTGAAAGCGTTCTTATAATTTTGATTTTGATACATTTGAAACTCGTAAGCTTTCATTCTCCTGATTGGATCTCGAGCATCATAGTCATTTTCTAAGGTGTCTGTTCAACAAGTAATCAGTACTTTGATCCACTGTTTATTTAAGAAACACTGGTTTTTTTTAATCATTTTGATTATTTTGGGGTTTGCAAATCCCAATCATGCTTCTTCTACAAATTGTGCTGCATATCTGCACAATCACTTTGTGATTTACAAACACAAATCTGATTCCGATTTGTGATATCCGAAGATTAATTTTACTGTATTCTCTGTGTCCCTTTTCAGAGACATCAAACCTGACAACATACTACTAGATGAACATGGTAAGATGCCCTGTTTCTTTATATTTTTTTTATTAATTAATTAATTTCAGTGTCAGTGAATGAAATTTCCATCAAAAAGACTCACCGTTAAAAATTCAACACTTCAACTGCATCTAACTAAGAATTTCACCCAACCTCTAACCTCTGGGTTGCACAATTGCACAGATCAAAGTAGCTGCAATGCACAGAGACAGCTTTCACATTTACTGACTAGATAGGTCTTGCAACACAAAGCAGCACAAAGCGGGAAAATGCCTCTTACCAGAGAAGGCCTGCACAAGTGAAATCTTATGTTTTGTCCAAACTGTCAGTTTGAGTTGGCTGAAGCTGTGTGACATTTAAGCGAAGCTTTTTTTCTTTCTCTCTGAACCATGGGATGAAATAAAATGGAGTGATGTAACGGGGAGTGGAAAACAAGGTTATATTCATCATGTCTTCTCCATGTGCGAAAAGAGAAACTTAGAATTCTTGTGTGTGTGTCAGAAGGATGGAATTATCTATAGAGTTTCATAATGGGTTTTAGTGTCAGCTCTCGATTCAGTAAGTAGACGATGTTTTATTATTCTGTATTCTTCACTGTGAAGAAAAGAATGGGAATTGTTCTTATGTAAGAACGGCAAAAATAGGCTTGAATTCCAAATTTTGTTATACGAGGGAAGACTCAGTCATGACACTATGACACACAGTCGCTTAAAGTTCAGGGATTTAATCTAGAAGCATAAGTAGATAGCTGCGAAAGAGTCCGGAGACAACATTTCAAATGCAGCATCGTCCAGGTGGATGTTTTTGTGAGGTATATTCTTGACAAATGGGTTGCATAGTTGTGGATTGTGAGAACAGGTCCTACTAAAGGATATCGGGCTCTGGTGCCACCTTAGTGGATTTTTTCATCTTGGTCAGATAATTAACCTGCTGGAGGCCAGTTTGTTGGGCTCTGGTAGTGCTCCTCCTGTTCCTCGTACAAAAAAGCAGATTCTGATCCTGCTGCTGGGTTGATGGTAAATGGCCTGTATTTGTATAGCGCTTTACTAGTCCCTAAGGACCCCAAAGCACTTTACACATTCAGTCATCAACCCATTCACACACAGGTGATGGCAAGCTACCACAGCCGCCCTGGGGCACACTGACGGAGGCGAGGCTGCCGGACATTGGCGCCACCAGGCCCTCTGACTACCACCAGCAGGCAACGGGTGAAGTATCTTGCCCAAGGACACAATGACCGGACTGTCGGAGCCAGGACTCGAACCGGCAACCTTCCAATTACAAGACAAACTGGCAACTCTCGAGCCACGATCACAAGATGGCCTTTTGTGGCCCTGTCCAGCTCTCTATGTTTGAAAGCACCCATCTTTGTATCTTCACCACTTTTTAAACTGTTCTTAGAGACACAACAAACCTTCTTGTGAAGAATGTGATGGGTGTGCAATTTTGAAAGATTTGGACTATCTGTGCAACCTGAATGGGCTACAGGTACCACTCGTACACAAGTAAAAACATGGTATTATTAAAAAAAACGATCTTATTTATGCATTAATTATATTTTTATTATTATATCATATTTATTTGCACTTGTCTTTTAAGGTCATGCTAGTTTGTTTGTCATATTCCTATTTTCTCTGTTTCACCGTGTTACAGGACTGCAAATGCATCAATTGCTCTGCAGTAGGTTTTAAATCTAACTTAACAGGGACACGACTTTTAAGGTGTTTTTGTTGGTTATCATTATAGCAAAGGCTGTCTAGCAGTGCACTGCTGATATTTAAATCAGTGCATAACTAATTCACTAACTAGACTGGAGAATTATTTCCTTTGTTTTAAAAAGCCGCCTTACATCAAAGTGTCCGTTTTGTTCATATACTGCAGTGTAGTGCACACATGCACAGACACACACCCCTAAACTCCTTAGATATCAGAGGGCATGGGGCAGCTGCTCAAGAGAGCCAAGGGGATATGTGGGATGGCAGCCCTGCTGTCACAACAGGCAGACAAAGAAAGACAGACAGAGAAAGAGCGTGAGGCGAGGATACGAGACAAAGGAGGAAAGTGATGAACACACATTTCTGAAAAGATTTATCAAAGGAGAAAAAATGCAACAGACAGACAGAGATGCATAAGGAAAGAACAGAGATAAAAGCGAAAAGCAGAGAGAAAGAGCATTTGAGGGAGGGGGGGCAGCATTGACAGCTCCTGCCTAATTTCCACAGGACAACAGACGTTCACTTGTGGTTCCTGCCTGTATGTGTGTGTGTCCTTTAAAACTCACTAAGCACTTCTCTCCTCGTCATGCATTCTGCCCACACTCTTGTTTTTTTTCCCTGCATAGACCTTTAGTTTACCTCTTCACTGAAGTCTAAAACAGCATGAGGTGTCAGAGGGGGGTAGCAAGCTGTTTGCTTCTGCATTTTGAAAGCTGGAATTGACCTGTGCTCCTGTATCCCTCTGGGAGCTGCTTCATATAGAGAAAAACAATTTACTTGTGCACATGTGACTTTGCTTTGTTAAACAGCATAGCGCTTAGGATGCTGAGTGAAGCTCCAGGAGGGCCAGGTCTATTTTATCCTCTGTGAGATTATATGCACCTTTCCTACGAAAACGAACACACAGCACATTAAAAGAATATTGTGATTGAAACCACGGGTCTCTTCTCCACTACCAAAGAAACACTGATAATTGCATCTGCATACGTATGGCACGTCAGCTCACATCTGACTCATAAAAGGTAGCATGCGATCATTCTGTTTTAGAGAAAGCAGGGAGCTTTCAAGCTAACACACACCTGCAAGCTAAAATAGTAATGACTTCCATGTGTGTGTCAACTAGCAATTTTCACGGCATGAAAAACTATCACTTGAAATTGAAATTGGTGTTCTGGAATACTGGCTTTTACCTTAATGAGGAACATTAATGATTAGTATGCTTGAGGTTACTTTAACAGTCTCTACATGTGTTGAGTGAAGGCAAAGCATGTCTTCATTAAAACAATTAGATATGCTTTATTTTTTCATTATTTCACCATTATGATTTGACAGCTCAAGTGCTTCTTGTTCATTGTGGTATTATGTGGCATAAATCAGATTGCACAACAGCGTTTCGGCACACGGGGATTTGCAAGGTGGAAAAGGTGGCACCTGATTGCAGAGTTTACACACACTGTGGTGAGACAACCCGACACCAATGTCACAAACAAAGATTATTACACTAGCGAGATACTGACTGAGAAAAGCTTATTTCAGCAGACTTCAATCCATGGTCTTTGTTTTGGCATTACCTCAACAACAGCTCACAGATCAAAAAGATTATGAATATTAACAGATTAATTCCAAATATTTCTGATGCAGAACAAAATCCTTTTTGGCTCAAATGCTTTCAGTGTAATAATATTAATATAAAAAAGACTGAAACGAGGCACCAGTGCTGATTTAGTTGAGGTTCTAGACAGTTTTATTAGGAAAAAAGAGAGATGCACTGTGTTATGCTGTTTAAATAACACTTAAGAATAAACTGTAGGGGTAGTTTTCTTTCAGTCCTCAGATGGGCATTGCAACTGAAAAGAGTCATTGGTTAAAAGTGTATTAATGAAGAAATCTCTGGTTGCTTACATCTCACATGTAGTGCACAATTTGCTGGATGATGTCACTTTTTGGGAAAAATTCAGACTTTATGCTGTATGGCCCTGCAGTAAGTGTTAATACACATAACTGTGGCTACAAAAATGGATCCAAGAAATTGATTTGGGTGCATGTTGTGAGGTATTGGTAATGAAAGCCATACTAAAAATAGAAGAGCTATGCAGCAGCAGGATATGGCCTAAGCAAAGCTTGACAGTTGTCGTGGTAATCCCATAAAACACATTAGATAACTAAGCCACCAGACCTCCTGCTGAACCATTGTTCAGTGGCCACTTAAACACTCACAAGCAGGGACAGTGGGAATGGTACTTTAAAATAAAAAGAATCACCCAGGGATCCACTTAAGCTTAACTCATAATGCACCCCACGAGTCAAGAGCCGCTACTTTATTAAATCCATCCACTGTAACTGGCAAGTATTCCATGGATGCCCAACTGTTGTGACGCACCTCTTATGAGGTATTCAAAGCAATTCATTAAAATCCTGCCGCTTAACAAGATCAACAATAGGGAGTTGATTAGTGATTTGAGAAAAAAAAGGTACTCATACAAATACACACTCCACTGTTAAATCAATGTATACTACATTGCCAAGTGTATTCACTTATTCATCCCAATCATTAAATTCAGCAGTTCCAACCACTTTCATGGCCACAGGTGTATAAGATCAACTACTGAGGCATGCAGACGGCTTCTACAAATATTTGTGAAAGAATGGGTCGCTCTCAGGAGCTCAGTGAATTGTAGCATGGTACCGTGACATGATGCCACCTGTGCAACAAGTCCAGTCGTGAAATTTCCTTGCTGCTAAATATTCCACAGTCAGCGGTATTATAGCAAAGGGAGTGAGAGCAACAGCAACTCAGCCACGAAGTGTTAGGCCACATAAAATCATGGAGAAAGTCAGCGGATGCTGAGGGACACAGAGGTCACCAGCTTTCTGCAGAGCCAGTCACTAAAGACCTCCGAACTTCTTGCAGCTTTCAAATTAACTCACTCACTCATCATGGAATTGGTTTCCATGTCTGAGCAGCTGCATCCAAGCCTTACAACATCAAGCGCAATGCAAAAAAGTCTAACGCAGCAGTGTAAGTGTAAGCAGTGGAGACGTGTTTTCTGGAGTGACAAATCGTGCTTTTCCTTCTGGAAGCCTAATGGACGAGTCTGGGTTTGGCAACTGCCAGGGGAATGGTAATTGTTTGTTTGTATGGTGCCAAGTGTAAAGTTTGGTGGAGGGGTGATTATGGTGTAGGGTTGTTTTTTAGGAGTTGGGCTCACCCCAGTTTGGGGATGGTCCCTTCCTGTTCCAACATGGCTGTGCACCAGTGCACAAAGCAAGGTTTATAAAAACATGGATAAGCAAGTTTGGAGTGGGAAAACTTGACTAGACTGCACAGAGTCCTCATCTCAGTCTGATAGAACACCTTTGGGATGAATCAGAGTGGAGACTGCAGGCCAGGCCTTCTCACCATCATCAGTTTATGACTGATATTAAACCTTATGGATTGAGAACAAGATGTCAATCAAGTTCAAATGCATGTGATGGCAGACGAGCGAATACTTGGCAATATAGTGTATGTGAAGTGGGGTAAGCTGAGCTCTTTGAGGTTCCGGGGGTTTTCTATATCACAGAGAACTTGTCATTGTCATCGCACTTCTCCATTGTTGTAAACAAAGCTCAGAAAAGACTGTAGTTAAGACAGGAAACGTAGAAAGCGAAAGTCCTTCGCCAAGTTATTGTAAACTTCTGCAGGAGAAGGATCTAAATCCCCAAACTCGTGCATAGCTCAAAGCTAGAAGGCTCTGCATCTTTTGATTAATGCTATTAACACAGTAATATCAGTGAGGTGTCTGCATAGTGCCAAAACAATGTCATCCACAGCCTGTTCACCCTGCTGCCACCATCGTCCCTGTTGATCGAGAAGTTTCTGCTAATTCTTTCCTCAGGCTATGAGACTGAACTGAATTCATTCTCCACATTTCATCACTTATAATATGTTTTATTTTTTATAATTATTATTAATTTGTAAAATCTGCTTTTTTTTTCTTGTTATTAGCAAAAATGGAGTAATCTGCAATTTCGTTACATCCTTATGAAGCACAATAACTACTAAAAGGAATCTTCAATCTTGAGAAATTAACAATTATTAATACAAATAATGCAAAAACCATTAGCCTAAAAGCATGTGCTACCGGTCCTCAGAGACTCAACTCAGCCGAGGCAATGAAAACCCCGGTTCTCAATAAGCTGGTCTGAGATTGACAGTTTGCTTAAAGTCTATTCAAGACAAACTAGAAAATTTTGTCCTAGCAGTGCAGCATTTTGAGGACAGCTGTCTTTTTCTTCTCACTCCTGCGGTCTAAATTTCCTGTCTAAATCTGTCTCCTGTAAAGCAAAAACAGATGAAAACATAGAGAGATCATTTCTAACTGCTGATCTATTTTAGGTATACGGGGGTCTTGGACTTTTCCAAGCTGTGCTAGGGTGAGAGGTGTGGTATACCATGGACAGTTTGCCTGTCCACCACAGGGTTAACAGAGAGACACATACAACCACAAATACTCACATTCATACCCACAGCCAAATTAGGGACACCACTTGCCCTAACATGCAGACTCACAAACATGCAGACATACAGAACGGCCACATCCGTCCTCAAGCTTCGAATCAGGAACCTTCTTTCTGGGAGGTGACGGTGCTAACCACCATGATACTCACAGGGAAATAGGCGGAAACACAAAGAAAAACAATAAAGCCTTACTCGTACTCAAGCATCATTTGAGTGTCAACTGCTGTTTAAGCTCTGCTACACAGCTGTCACAGTGATCCAACTTCATTAACAGAGCTCCTTTGATAATAACAGAAAACCAAATATTCGTCCATGTGCTTTAGAAAAGTCACACACCAGTACCTGAAAATACTTCAGACTGCAAAAAAGCAGCAAAAGAAATGGGAATTAATAGAAAAATACATGTTAAACTTCTTGGTTTTATAACACACTATATCAGTATCTGTGTGCATGGCAAACACTGCAGTATGTGTTATATTGCAATGCAATATGACACAGGTCAGTTGTCAAGAATGAGACATTTGAGGTAACAAAATCTCTCTGTTCTTTAGGGCACGTCCATCTAACAGACTTCAACATCGCAGCCATTGTAAAAGACGACCTCAAAGCAACATCCATTGCTGGAACCAAACCATACATGGGTAAGAAAATGACATTTTGACAAGAAAAGGCTACTGGAATTGAAACGGTTTGAAACTCTGCCCTTTAATCTTAAGAAATCAACACAATAAATCTTCTTCAGCTTTCGGCGAAGTGGACTTCCACTGCTGGATGTTCTAAAGGCTGCTTCAATTTTCAGTTAGAAAAAGAATTGTGCAAATGCTGTTGCAGGGTCGGCTCTGAGATTGAGGCGGTAGTTTTTAAAAGAACAAAAACTCTTTAGTTTCAAAAATATTTAAATTATACTTTCATAAAATATTTAAATACACATGAAAAAGAGATGAAAGATGGATAGTTCACAGAGCTTGACTGAGTGAATTTACATCTGTCACTTTAATAAATTATTAATAAAAACTACATCCAATAAATAAAACTTTATTTTAAGGTGAACTTTGGATGTTAAAGCTACATTTGTATTTTTTGATGGGACCAAAAAAACCCCCCAAAATATTTGTAGTTAATATATATGTAAATATATATGTAGTGCATTATTGAGTCCGCTCCAAAGAGATCAGATAGGTTGAATAGGATTTGAGGCCAGTATGAATGATGACCATGCGTTTGGATGTGTTTGCGTGCATGCTTAAAGGGGACATGTGAATTGTGAGCTTTTTTGTTTTCTTTTTCCCTTAAAAATTGTGCATTCAGGTTAGAAAATGACCTTGGAACAATGTGTGACCAGACTCCAGGTGAATTCTCTACAGTATAATAGATAATTCATGGCTGCTCTGGGGAAAAAAAGAACCCTTCCTCCCCTTCTCTAAGAACCTTTAGTAGATAAGCTACACTTTTTCCTTTTCAGCAAGAAGGCAGAGCAAACCTAAAGGAGAGGTGGGGGATTTGTGTGAGAGCCTGCATGTTTCTGAGTATAGTTCCTCACAGTCCTGCGTGTAATATAGATAAAGATCTGCAGACGAAACGGTAAGAGATTAGCCACAGAAGGCTTTTCTACTGACTATTTAAAATCACAGATGACTAGATGATTCGCTTCCACAGAAGAATAAAAAAAGCTGTTTTATTTGTTTAATTGGATGTTTTTCTTAATCTGTTATTCATTACAGAGATAATCTGATGTAATATAGTTCAAAGAGCATGTCAATATATTTATTTTACCCCTGGGAAAAAGAATGAAATTGATGCTTTCCATCACTGAACCCTAAAAAAAATACTCAACAGAAAATGACTTAATCTCTTTTGTGCACAAGCAACCAAGGCACCGTGTACTAGACAACTTAAATGACATGTACAGATGTTACGCCTGTGGGTATGTTGATACAGATGCTACGCCTGTTTTAAATTAGTCTTTGATTAAGTTACCTAACCCGAACCCTCTGAGAAAAAAGACCAGGAATCATTATTTTATCTGCAAGAGAATATTGACCTAAAGATTGGTAATTGTGTAAAAAAAAAAAAAAAAAGTAACAAATAAATACATCCAAGTATATAATTTACTGAACTCATTATTATTATTAAAGAAAAAGTAGAGAAAGAAAGAAAGAAAAAAGGAAGTGTTGAAAAAGATACAGGTACAACAAAATGATAACAGTTGAGATGATGACACTTACGTTACCTCACTTGACCACTGTTTGAAATCGAGTACAAAAGTGCTACCATGCAAAGAATTGTTAGCCTAGCAAGAGTGAAATACCTCCAAAGTGCTGACTTCACTGTTAGCTTCCTCTATGCTGTGTTAGTGCTCTTACTAGCTATATCTTAAAAGGGGGCAATTCGGCACATGCTCATTAGGGTTCTCTCGCTACCTGTGAAAGAAATGCAAAGTTACTTTGTTAAAATAATATTATCATATACATACATATAAATATTAAAAAGGTAAGTAAGTATATTGTACTGCCACTTTTAAATACATGTATAAATATGTTTCCCAGTATATATGTTCTTAAGTATATGGGCTAAAAAAGATTTACATTACATTTTCTTAATTATTAGATGCTACTACAATAAACTGATTACTTTCAAAGTCACTTCTGTTTGAGTAGGTTAAAATGACTTGTTTTTTATTGTTACCATTTTACCCACCAAGTAGGCTGTTGTAGCACTCTGACTTCTTGCATTAAAATGAATAGTCTTGGAACAAAAGGTGCTCTGTGTCTTCCAAACACATTGACCCTACGATCCAACGTCAGAGTCTCGACTCATCACGTGAATCAGGCACTGATCCGACACCTCAAACAGCTGGGGAACGAGAAGCTCAAAACAAGAGCCCATAGCAGAATAGGCTGTTTGACATTGGCAGAAACGATTTGGGACAAAAGGTTTTCATGGTGGTAACTCTGCTGGTCAACCCACAAAATGCATTATTTAAGGCAGGGGTGGGCAATTCCAGGCCTCAAGGGCCAGTGTCCTGCAGGTTTTAGACATTTCCTTGATCTAACGCAGCTGATTTAAATGGCTAAATGACCTCCTCAACATGTCTTGAAGTTCTCCAGAGGCCTGGTAATGAGCTAATCATTTGATTCAGTTGTATTGACCCAGGGTAATATCTAAAACCTGCAGGACACCGGCCCTTGAGGCTTGGAGTTCCCCACCCCTAAAAAAGGGGAAATAAACAGGCTTTCCAATGGTAGAAGATTTATTGCCAATAAGCATTGTCACAGCAATGAAAATGATCAACCAAATCTTTTTTGTGCTAAGTTTATTTATCAAACAATTCAAGTACAGATGAAAAAAAAATGCTACAATATCCCTGGCCTCCCCCTATTTCATGTCTGGAGGAATCCTACAGTTAAAATAAACCCATCCAAACAGCCCGAGAGAAGGGAATGAAAAAACATTAATAACACAAGATGTCATAAAGTGTTATAATGCATTATTTATGTTGTACAATATTTTTTTGTCCATCAGCGCCTGAGCTCTTTCAGTCCTTTGAGGGGTCCCACCCCGGCTACTCCTTCTCTGTTGACTGGTGGTCACTGGGGATTACGGCCTATGAGCTACTAAGAGGACAGGTAATTTAGACACATACGGAGTACACCACAATGTCTACATCACAGATTACTTCTGTGCGGTCTGACACACTTAGCTGCATTCAATAATGCATAGGACGCTGAGTGCTAGAAAAATCCTGTTAGTAGGAGTTTAGACAGCCTCTACAAAACAAAAGGAAGATGAAGTTATAATTGAATCGTATGTTTAAGCTGACCTTACTGGGATAGATGTTTAATCGTTTAGTCGTGGTGCGAGACCAATCGCTGCAGAAGAGTGAGAAAATCGAATCGGAGTTATTCAGAGAGCCATATAATTGGAATTGATTTTCAAAATGATATTTATTTATCTTGTGCACTTCCCACCTGGAGAGTTTAGTTCTGATGTCATGGAAGCAAACACAGGACATGATCTTTTTCCTCGGTCCTCCTACTCCATTAGGCTGAGTATTATTAGAGCAGTGTGTTTGTTGCGGACTCAAATCCAACTGCAGCTGCATAATTTCTTCTCATATTTTAGGAGAATTACATAAACTACAGTAACCTCCCTCTGCAATGACAAGGATTCTAAGTCTTTGAAACTTATGGGAAACTGTCATGAACTTTTACTGAAATTTTCTCTTCTCACACATCTATGTATCTTTAACTGTTCAAAGTTATTAGATCTCGTCAATGTTGTGGGTTTTTTGGGACTTGACACCTCTTTTTAGTAAGGTCTCACTATTCCCAGGAGGCCTGAAAGGGTCAGGTATGATGGAGTCTTTTTTAGAACACTATGACCTGACCGTCTTCTGTTTGGTGTCATCAGTTTGTCTCTGTAGAGGCTTCAAGGACAGTCCAGGTGCTTCTTGACAGTGTAGAAACTCACTCTGTTCTCTTATCTGGAGCACTGGAACAGGAGGGGGTATAGGAAAACACCCTTTGGAAGGATAAACTGCCTTTCTTCCTTCATACCAGCTGCAACATATGTGCTTCTATCGCTTCTTCTCGATATGAAGTGTGTCCGTGATAAGTGCATCTATATTTTATACTTTATATTTGAGTCTTCTGTAAGATTATTTCTGCATGAGGAAAATCTGTTCTCACAATATTTCCATAACAATCACTTTCCACTCCCCTTTATATAAAAAAAGCATTCTGTCCTCTTTCTGACCTTATAGCTGCGTCTTCACTCGGCTGTAATATCTTCTTTCTAACCCTTCCATTACCTTCTCTGAATTTTTTGTCCTTTATCTGACCTCAAAAAGTGACATATTCTTGCTGCCTTCATCATCCCACAAAGCTGTGTCCTCTGCTTTTACAACCATCACTTATTCAGCAGATTATTAATACCTAGAAATGACATAGCTTCACTTCTCTAGTCTTTGGGTAGTTCCTTTAGTTATCTCCCCTACTTCCTTTTATTCCTCTCTCTGCACATCACCTTTACCAAGACAATATATTTTCACCTCTTCCCTCTGTCTCCTCTGGGTTTTAACACGTTTTTCATTTGACTGACGCGTTCGAACATCATCCATAAAGCAAAAGTCAGTTTCTGGGTGTTGAAAACTGGTCTGTTGGATGTGACAAAATTATTTGCCTGTTATGTACTTTCAGGTATCTTTTCAACTTCCATTCTCTCTCTTAAACTCCTGCCACTTCTTAATTATAATATATTACTCATAATATTGTAATAATTGAATTCAATCTTAACTTTCCCCCTGGGTTTGACCATTGGTTGAATGCTGAGAGTGCTAAATAGGTCACAGTTACTTAGCCTGTATTTCTCCAGCCTCAATTTTTTGCTAACTAGTAGCTGAGCAGTAGTAAATTTTGAAGACTGACACACAAACCTTAGCACTGCAGCCAGTGCATTTAATAAAAAAATGCAGATTTTTCTTTGAAAGCACATAGCCTCCGGTTCCAGTTTGTAAAAGTACAGGTGATCACAGCAATCAGCTAGGGACCAAAGTAATCACAAGGAGGTTTTTGCCAATCAGTTTAGCAATACACATTTTTCCCCCGTGACGGTGGTTGCTGGTCTCGAGGCCTCTGTGACTGGAGCTTTAGCAATTGATTTCCCAGTGACAGTCTCAGGTTGTCATGTCAGTAACACCATATCCCCTCACCTGTCTTTTGCTCTACTTTCCTTATTTCAGAGGCCATATGTGATGAAATCTAGTACACCAGCCAATGAGATCCTGCAAACATTTCACAAGGTCCATCCTAGTTACCCAGCAGCCTGGTCTTTGGAGATGAAGTCTCTTCTCAGAAAGGTAAATAAGCAGCAAGTGCATAATAAACAGCAACATAAACAAATTATATTGTTCATGCCTTTGTTTTTCCTGGTACTCTTATTGTCAGTGGGTGTCTTTGCTATTTTGTATGACATACGCTATTTTGAATTTTTCTCCAGTGTGGGAAATCTTTGTCTCCTCTGGGAAGACCATTATCCATATCTGACACCAGCACACTGAGGCTACAGAATCTTAATTAGGAGGTCACTTTCATTGCTACAGCCTCACTTGAATGCAGCACAACTTTAGAATTATAATGGAGTAGAATCAGTATTCAAACATTTAAATTAGTGATGTAGGTGAATGACAGTGTTAACTGTTAGCGGTTACTTGCATACATAAATCAATAAGGTACTATTCCAGAACAAATGCTAAAGCTGAAAATGTAGAGAGACACAGAAAAACAGACACAGGGAAGCTTATACTTTAGTATGTGTGAATAAACACTAAATACCAGCCTAAAATTAGAATAGTCTACGTGTTATTCAGTATGTCATTCAGCTGTCAAACGTGTCTTCGTCTTGTTGTAATGCTTAAAAGATGCACGGCTGTTGTAGGATTTGGCTTTTATCTTGGCAGCGATCCACTGCAGTCAAACTGTTGCATTGCTTCGTGCTCAGACTCCTCGAAGCTCATTGGCATTCCAGTTGCATGTGTATATGTGTATGAGGGAGTGAGCAGGAGAGTATAGAGAGAGACGAAAGAGATGTAAAGAATGTGAAAATGCCAGGGAAGAATTTCAGGCCCACAAATTTGTCCTTCATCTTTTATCCTTCACAACCCACTGCGTTATCCCATCACCATTAGCTTTCTATATGAGTTTCATTTTTTTCCTCCTCCTTTTGTTTCCGCCCTCTTCCTCAAGCTCCCGCCGCATGTCCCTTCTCCAGTACTTCCAACCCCCTTTGTCCCTGTATCCTCATTCTCAGACACATCCTTAAAGGCAAACATGTGCTCATGTCTCAGTGAGACTCTCCTCCTAACTTTTCAGCCATGCCTCCCCGTGGACAGTTGTTCTTACTTTAATCCTTTTGTCGCTTTCAGTTGCTGTGCATAGATGTCCAGAAACGCATTTCCTGTCTAGCAGAGCTACAGGATCTGGACTACATGTCAGACGTCAACTGGGATGCTGTGCTCAGCAAGCAGGTCCCTCCAGGTTTTATTCCAAATGTGAGTATCAGACATAAACTCAGCACTGTGGCAGTGTAGTGCGCAGCAAAATGCTCACATCTGAATGTTTATTTTTCTGCTGTATTACATTTAAATGACACAAATACAACATTGCTGTAAATCAAGGTAAGGAGCACCTAAACAAACATATACCACACTTTAAATAATCCATCCACAGAAGTCTTAAATGGCCTTAAAGCTTATTTAGAGTATCATGACACAAGTTTGTTTTTTAACGTATTAGATTATAAATACCAAAGGTTTTTCTGCCATATTTTTCCCATACTTATTTCCATACCAGTATTTCAGGTATTTACCCTAAAGCGGGTAGTGAAAAATGAAGATGAAGCCGCTGTTCAGTTAATCTTTTGTACCCTGTCTGTAAACACTGCCCCCTGCTGTTTAAGTTGGCCCAACTACTTATTGTAGATATCCAGGCAGAGTGTGCAGATGCAGAACAACAGAAAGAGTCTTAGACACGACTGAAAGCAGCTAAAGAAGCTAAAATGTGTATCTACCAGCAGCTATATAGTCAATGAGTCATTGTGGCAAAGTGGATAAAGCTAATAATGTCATTAGACAGGGAGTCAAGCTGCTTGGCTGACAAGCTCATGTAGTATCTTCTGTAATGTCAGGTTCTTCCAAGCGTTACAAAAGTTACAGCTGGTGATTGAAGGGTGTAAATGAGAATCTGCAAGTCCAAAGTAAATTTGACAGGCTCACAGAAGAGCTTTTAGAAAGAAAAGAAAACCTGTACAATAATGTGATGATCAAATAACTTTAAAAGTCTCCTAAAAGGTGACAGTAACTGTTAATGCTTTGCTCCAGAATGGAATAAATAGAGATTAATGACTGTTGGAAGTAAACAGTTAACTAAATGACTTTATCTAGTTTCAGTCTATAGCAGAGCAGAGCAGCTGGTATCCCCAGCGGTCAGGCTACCACAGCAGAGGAAAGGCACAGAGGATCGATGGGGAATTGACAGTGTCTTTCTGTTTAATTATAGGCACATGCACAGTCTTTAATCCCTTCCACACTATTAATGTTTGAATACTGAGGGAAAACTCAGCCCTTATGTTTTGTTTCCTAACTTTATAGCACTCAGCGTCTTACCTTGCTTTAGTTTGTTTTTTATCACATATTACTGTGTTCTGAAGCGCTGTTGAACATTTCATTGTCAGATATTTAGTGGTACAAAACATTTATTGATGCAAAATTCTAAATTTTCCTCATCATGTTTCTAATACAACACGGAAACCTGCATTGCCATTTGTTTTTTGTCTTGTTTTTTGACACCAAAATAGCCACGTCTATGCCTTTGATTATATGTCTTTCTTTATATGAATATGTCACTGTAGAGGCGAAGGCTAAACTGTGACCCCACATTTGAGCTAGAGGAAATGATCCTGGAGTCCAAACCACTTCACAAGAAGAAGAAAAGACTTGCTAGAAAAACCAAGGAGCATGGCTCTGATGGCTCTCCGCAGGTAAGGCCATAAATTTATACATTTAGATCATATTTACATTCTGTTATGTTAGGGTAGTTAACATATGTTTGATATTGATGATCGATAATGCATTTTTTACAACTGTGTTTATCTTAGGAAACTAACATTTCACTTAATGTTTTTGGTTTAGAATATTTTTCTCTCATTATTTTCATTAATGAGGAATGAAGAAAAAGACTGGAAGGTAAAAGGTCAAGTGAGATATGGGAGAACATACCCACACAATTTTTTCATGACGACAGTATGAACTCAGAAAGATCAAACTAGAATAAGATGCATATAAATTGTACAGGAACGTGTGTTGGATATGTTTATACTTTACCACACAACAGAAAAATATCAGATACGTCACACCTACAGTTGGCACACACACTTCAAAAAAAAGGCCCACGATCTAACCTGTTGCACGCACGCATACAGCCAATGCCAAAGTTGCAGAGTTTGCCTCGACTCTGACCCTTTGGCACAGAGGAACAATTTATGGAATTCTTTTTTTTAATAGAAGTGAAGCAATCTGTGTGGTCTAGACTCTAGAGCACACTCTTTGCCAGTTTGCAATAAGAAGTCTGAGCTGGCTCAAAGTGCACCATGTTTTATGAAAGCTGACAGCTGCTTGTGGAGGCTTGTCTAAGTGTATATATCAGTAATATCTCACTGTGTGGCCAAACAACATTTCTAAACACTTGATCCATTTTGTCAGAGAGTATGTCACCTGTTCTAAAGAAATAATAATAGCAGACTTTCAAAGAAATGTTTCTTCTGTCTAAGCGAAGGCTAAACGGAAGCAACTTTTGAGTCATTCTAGTAGTATTTAGGCAAAATGAAATGTAAGATGGCTACGTTAGAGCGCTAGTGACTCCCAACAAAGGTATCTTTGGGTTACACGGAACAATTAGCCGTAAAAACAGAAACTGCATTTTAGTTTTAAAGGACTGATATTGGAGCCAATTTTAAGGAAGTAAAGAAGCTAACTAAATGGTGTGGATTAGTAGCAGATGTGGACGTATATGAAGAAAAAATAAGATGATAGGGTGATTAAATAAATAAATTAAACATAATAGATAAGTACTTGAAATTAGTAGCCAAATGTGGGGATTAAAAATCTGGGATGTGTTTACCAAAATGAATGGCTAGCAGTTGAGGTGTTAGCCAACAGTATGGATTATGTATTAGCTGTTACAACAACCAGGTAAAATTAAAATTGTTAGCTAAAAACAATAGATAAACTGTTGTTTGGTAACTGAGTGCAATGGAATAAATAACTCTTTCATAGAAATGGATATTTCTATGTGTAGTTAGTTGTTAACTCTGCACGATTCTGCTCAGATCAGCTGATTGATCCGAGCAGAATCAACCGCATCTTTCTCACATCTTTCCTTTCCTTTATTTATTTTAAGTTATTGGCTGCTAAAAATGCTGATACAGAAAGATCGGCAAATAGCTAATATCCCACTCTGCCTACTTTATTAGATAGTAAGTAAGGGATGAATGATTGAAGTGATCATTTATGTGAGCACGTTACACGAGAAAGATTGGAAAGCATTACTTTAGCCCACTGTGACGTTTGTGCCATAATGTCACTGAACAGTGGGGCATTTGTCTTTCCTTTTAAATTGCTTTTCAAATACCAAACAGATTTTTTCTTTTATAAATGTTGTGTACAGAAAGCACAGGTCTTCCTGCTATTTCCCATGTAGACCCATTTCAAGTTTTCCCATCTTATATCTATTCAGGGATTCTATTTGCATGCAGTTTTTGATGTTTGGAGCCTATTCAATATGATGTGGCCAAACATCCTTTTCTGGAATCATATTTTGCAGTGTGTGCTAGCTGTCAGGCTGAATACTCACTTTACTGGCTATAAATATCAGTTTGTGTTTGTGCAGTGCTTTACCATATCCATTTACGCAGGGCTACTGGGGCCACTTGTGATGGATGCTTATAAGAGACAGACAAAAAAAGATTGTTTGATATATGTGTGTATGTGTGTGTAAGAGAGAGGGTCTGAAGCACAGCAGATCAATATTGCATGAAGAAAACTACCCTAATGCCTGTTTCAGCCTCTTACTCAATACCTTAAAGCCTTCTGTATTCTTTTTTTGTATGTTCCTCCTCTCCTCTTCTCCTTTCCAACCTTTGCTTTTCTCTCCTTTCCGCTGTATCCCAGCACAAAGATATCTATATGTCACTATAACATTTTCTTGTACAGAAAGTGTCCCGTTCCTCATCAATTTTTCTGGTTGAACTTTTATCTTTTTGCCTCCCTCTTCCTTTCATTGCTCTCATAATGTAGCATGGAATTAGCTCCGTTAAACCACTGATAATATACAGCAGAAAATTGGACTGCTGTGAGAACAAAATTTATTGTCACACTGAAACTTGCAGACACACACACACACACACCTCGCCTAATCATAGGTGCCATTCAAGTTTATTGCATGCGTGAGATAAAGTGGAAACTTGACATATAGAATTAATTTGTATAATGTGTTCAGGGCTGGAGCTGTTTTTGCTACTCAGTATGTTCTCATTGTTTCTCCAGGCTGCTGTTACTATGTGTGCATCAAGTTGTAATTTTATGTTTGCTAGGCTAGGTTTTATTATAGGTGACATTGGTGACGTTATTTTCACAATGCCATGAAAGTTTTAAAATATGAAATGGGTGCTGATTCTCAGCATATTGCAATCACAGGAGGTTTCTAGTATGTTTGAATTGCCTGATCTGGTGACAATAAGTTGACGTTTACCATAATAGTCTAGTGATTGTATTGGGTGCAACATTTTTGCTTGTTGTAGAGTTTTTACTGCAGTGGTTATGATGATTAACTTTATATTGAGAAATGACTATATGAAGATTACTGGGTTAATGTTGAATAAGTCGTTAAAATGAACATGCAGAGAATTATCACCTACAGTATTGTGCAAAAGTTCTAAGCCATCCCTCATTTCCTTATACAGTGGGGCAAAAAAGTATTTAGTCAGCCACCGATTGTGCAAGTTCCCCCACCTAAAATGATGACAGAGGTCAGTAATTTGCACCAGAGGTACACTTCAACTGTGAGAGACAGAATGTGAAAAAAAAATCCATGAATCCACATGGTAGGATTTGTAAAGAATTTATTCGTAAATCAGGGTGGAAAATAAGTATTTGGTCAATAACAAAAATACAACTCAATACTTTGTAACATAACCTTTGTTGGCAATAACAGAGGTCAAACGTTTACTATAGGTCTTTACCAGGTTTGCACACACAGTAGCTGGTATTTTGGCCCATTCCTCCATGCAGATCTTCTCGAGAGCAGTGATGTTTTGGGGCTGTCGCCGAGCAACACGGACTTTCAACTCCCGCCACAGATTTTCTATGGGGTTGAGGTCTGGAGACTGGCTAGGCCACTCCAGGACTTTCAAATGCTTCTTACGGAGCCACTCCTTTGTTGCCCGGGCGGTGTGTTTTGGATCATTGTCATGTTGGAAGACCCAGCCTCGTTTCATCTTCAAAGTTCTCACTGATGGAAGGAGGTTTTGGCTCAAAATCTCACGATACATGGCCCCATTCATTCTGTCCTTAACACGGATCAGTCGTCCTGTCCCCTTGGCAGAAAAACAGCCCCATAGCATGATGTTTCCACCCCCATGCTTCACAGTAGGTATGGTGTTCTTGGGATGCAACTCAGTATTCTTCTTCCTCCAAACACGACGAGTTGAGTTTATACCAAAAAGTTCTACTTTGGTTTCATCTGACCACATGACATTCTCCCAATCCTCTGCTGTATCATCCATGTGCTCTCTGGCAAACTTCAGACGGGCCTGGACATGCACTGGCTTCAGCAGCGGACACGTCTGGCACTGCGGGATTTGATTCCCTGCCGTTGTAGTGTGTTACTGATGGTGACCTTTGTTACTTTGGTCCCAGCTCTCTGCAGGTCATTCACCAGGTCCCCCCGTGTGGTTCTGGGATCTTTGCTCACCGTTCTCATGATCATTTTGACCCCACGGGATGAGATCTTGCGTGGAGCCCCAGATCGAGGGAGATTATCAGTGGTCTTGTATGTCTTCCATTTTCTGATGATTGCTCCCACAGTTGATTTTTTCACACCAAGCTGCTTGCCTATTGTAGATTCACTCTTCCCAGTCTGGTGCAGGTCTACAATACTTTTCCTGGTGTCCTTCGAAAGCTCTTTGGTCTTGGCCATGGCGGAGTTTGGAGTCTGACTGTTTGAGGCTGTGGACAGGTGTCTTTTATACAGATGATGAGTTCAAACAGGTGCCATTCATACAGGTAACGAGTGGGGGACAGAAAAGCTTCTTACAGAAGACGTTACAGGTCTGTGAGAGCCAGAGATTTTCCTTGTTTGAGGTGACCAAATACTTATTTTCCACCCTGATTTACGAATAAATTCTTTACAAATCCTACCATGTGGATTCATGGATTTTTTTTTCACATTCTGTCTCTCACAGTTGAAGTGTACCTCTGGTGCAAATTACTGACTTCTGTCATCATTTTAGGTGGGGGAACTTGCACAATCGGTGGCTGACTAAATACTTTTTTGCCCCACTGTATGTCTGTGTGTCAGTTTACATATTACAACAAAGAGCAATAAGAAGCATTAATAAGACAAGCAGACAAACACAAGCTATATGTTTAATAACTGGCTGTAAGAACTTGTAGTAAATACTACAGTATCATAGTCAATGGAGTAAAGCTGTGTGATAACTGCACAGAGGAAATTAAAACCTGTTTGTCGCTGTATACTGTACATTCACACAACTCTATAAAAACAAAACTATTATAGCCCCTTTTCCATCAGTTTCTACTCGGATCGACTCACCATGACTCACCTCGGATCGACTGATTTTCCATTACGATCGAGTACCACCTCATGTGTGTGGTCGTTCGTCCTGCTGCTCGGTCGACCTGATGCTTGGTCTGTGGCCTTTCGTCAGACTCAGGGACCATGGCTTTGATTTTTGGTATCAATTTCCCTTGTTGCTGGGTTTCAAAATTGGCAGTTTTTATTTTCGTGAACGACATGCTCTCGTGACTCACCGAGTGACACCACTGACCAGCCAATAGGTGGCATGAAGTGTGATGACGTCACATTTTAGTACCTGCTCGGATCGCTTGGAACCCCAGCGGAGCAGGTACCATTTTAGTACCTGGTACCAGATACTATCACCTAATGGAAACTCTGAAAACTGTGGCTAACCATACTGAGTCCTAATTAGTACTAATTAGGTACTAATGGAAAATGGGCTTCTCATTCTGCTCATCTGGATATTACTATTGTTCTTTATTATTGTTCTGTGCATGTATCTGTAGCTAACGAGAATGTAGGCATTTAGTTTGTAGATTTTTGTTTGTTTAAGATCTGTACCTATTCCCTTTCAGACTTAAAACATTCATTTACACCATTATGAGTTTGTGTATGTCTGATTCCAATCTCACTCTGTATCTTGTTTTTGTACTTTATTTTATGATTTTGTTCAAATCTATTCTTCCAAGGAACCAAACCTTGGAAGAATAGACCAATTTTTTTTAAATTGGTCTTGAGAAGCAGTGCTCCAGGCTTTCTGAAGCTCTTTCAAAGTTCTTTTCTTTGAACATTGATGCTTTTTCACTCATTTTCAGTCCGGTCCTTGTATCCGACCATTTCAGAGGAATTTTCGACTTAAGTCATTTGCGCCATGTTTTTGGTTTTGGTTCAGTCTCACCACTCGTTGATAATTTTTGTTTACATCCATTTTCAAAAAGTGGCTAAAACCTACCACGCATTATCTGTTTAGCAAAACAGCAGTTAATGAAAATGAGATATAGCTTCATGAAAATGGCATCAAATATGTAAATAGCAGGTAGTTGGTAGTGACCAATAATAAGGCTAAAAAGAGAGTGAATGCTTGATTAAAAAGTTACTGCTAAAACTGTAAATATAGTAAAAGTACATCCATTATTTTCAATGCAAATTTCAAAATAAACAGCAATTTTTTGGGTGGGGCATTGGCAGTGAGTTGGAAATAAGGCACTAAAAGGTGCAATCAGTGACCTGTTTCAGTATCACGGAGTCCCATGGAGAGAAACAGAGAGATGGGAAAGGCTGTTTTCAGGCTGACATTAAGGTTTTCACAGGATAGAAAACAATTTTTGTTCTTTGGGTACAGAAACAAAATCTATATGTGCTTGAATGAAGTTTTTTTCTTTAAGTAAGAAAAAGTGAAGAACAGATTTTCTTTCAATGATCTCTTTCAAATATTTCCTATCTCTTTTAATTATAGCTTAAAAAATAGAATGTCTGGTTGTTCTGAGTAAACAAAAGCTTCATAGAAGTAGTGTAAAACCAGTTAATTAGCACTGATGTCAGATAAATTAATGGATCATTGAAATAAAGAGAGAGCTGCATGTGCATCTGAGGAAGCAACTCTGTGTGTGCCACTGATTAAAAATGCAGAGTCAGAACTTGGCTTTGGTTTAGGTCTGAGGGAATATCATCAGGAGAAGTCAAACACATGCAATTTAAGAAGTACTACTTGTACAGCAGATATTTCTACACTCAGCAGTTGAATCTGAGCTGAAGATTTTTACTGTTTAAATTATGGTTAAAGCATTCCTTCGATCCATATTTCATTATTCACCACTAACTTCACTATTATGTCACATACAGTTCCTAAATTACAGCATATCAATCTTCTCAAATGGCTGTGATTCGATATGCCATTTATGTGTCAGGCAATCTACATATTTTAATACTATTGCTCATTACCAGTCACAACAAACATCAGCCTCAGCCTTAGCAATGGACCTTGAGAAATGTTCCTGTTAGGCTTTCATCCAACAGAGCACTCCCTGTTGGTTTGTCTCATTAAATGGAAAGTTTAATCTACCATTTGGAGCAATTAGCTTCTGAACTGTCTTTTTAAAAGCATTAAATAAAGAAAGGAAGGAAGAGACAAAGAGGAGAGAAGAAGTAGTGAAATGTCAACGGTTAAAGCAAGGCCAGAGCCTTCTTCTGGCAGATTCCTTTCTGACCTTCTCACTCCTTGTCTCCATCAATTTATACATCTGCCCATATTGTACAGTTACAGAGGAATGAATCAATTTACATCTAACCCCTCGATTTTTGAATCGAGAGTTAGATGTTCTAACCCTCGTGATTGAATAAATGCATGAATAACAATTTCCAGTGCAGAGCCTGACACACTGGAACTCAATTTGTCAATATTTTTTAAGTGATGAAAGCAAGATCTAGGACAGGATTCAAGCTGTGAGCATCCAAAATAGAAGCTGAAACAAAAGTTACCGAAACATTTCTGATAGAAGATGTAGCTAATGCTGCAAAGGCAAACGAGAGCTTAGGTACAAATCTGTAAGGGGCACAAGCAAGGACTGTTCCTACAACTTTTAGTAGAGTCTGAGTACCTCTGCAAAGTCTCTAGCTTAGAAACGTCTCGGGGCTTAAAAGAGATATATAACTGAATGTTGTCTGCATAGAAATGATAAGAACTATGCTTAAAAGTGCTCAGAGTGTGTTGAAAAGGTATCTAATATATCAAAAAAAGTAAAAGCCCCAAAACAGAAAACATGTGGCACAGAGACAAGGCTAGACAAGTGGAGGATGTCCTATACTTAGAAGCTGCTAAAGAAAAAAGCGAAACATGACGATCAACAGTGTGTAAATGTCAAAGTGTCCAATCATAACAGTTCCTTCTGGGTTCATCATAGATGTCTATAGTTGTTTAACTTCTTATTGCTGTCACTGTTCTTGAACAGGTCAATACTGATTATCAGCACCCTGTGGATTAGCGTGACGTGGATGTATTAAGTCAAATTTGGATTTTATAAATAAATTAATAATAAATGTTCTTCACAGCTTTACAACAGGAGATCACATGGAAAAGACCAGGAGGTACCACAAAAGTCAAAAGTGTGAATCAGGCCCTGGAAATATATTTTGACATAAAAAAATAAGCTCACATAAAATGTATTCAGTCAAGTCTGACCGGCGGTACCCTAAGGAGGAGCTCGATGACTTTACAGCAGTGCGTGTTTTGTTCAAGCTCCCTCTGCAACTTGAACGGAAACTATATGTCCTATCATGGGTTATATCAGTACAGACAATGTTGGACAAAGGTTTTTCTTTCTTTTTTTCATGGGTCCTGTCATGCCTTTAGATCTTAGATGTGAAGCATCATTATGACACTGTTAGAAAGAAAACAATATCTTTCTTCATGCCTCATCATGTCTGTTATGTATCAGATCTATAACTCATGCCTGACAAATAATGTGTAACACTGCGTCCCCCCACTCTGAGTGTCTGTCTGTTTGTTTCTTTGTCCTTTTTTTGTCTGTATCGCTCACACAAAAGCGCACCCTGTTCTGACAGTCTCTGTCTGGGTGGTTGTGTCAGTATCTTTTGGGTTCATGCAAATCTGCCGTTTTTCTTTTCTGATACTGCCCTGAAAGTGTCCCTTCACTAAAACTCAGAGGCTCGCTTGCAGTCAAGATGTATACTAATCATAGGGCTGTTTTATCCTTCTCTCTCTCAGGCATGCTTGCAAAATCACAAAATCCACTCCCAACTTTTTCTGCTCCTCCTTTCCTCCAGCTTTGCCTCTCCTCTCTCTACTCTCCAGTCTGTCTTCCTGGCCTAAATTAGTTGATGGCTTTCGGATGCCAGTTGCTCCCCCCCTACTGTGACAGCACCTGTACAGAACCTCTCTGCTAGGCTGTGTGAGTGACAGCTTTGGCAGGAAGTAAGCCATTTCGAAGTGTAGAGGGCCAATCTAACTGAGCTTGAGGGGGAAGCACCACATGCCCATACATGCATGTGCAACTTTGAGTATGATTCTTTTTACTAAGGATGAGGCCTTAAGACACCCTAAAAATTAAACAGTTTAGGAAATTCAATAAAGGTTTGAAGGTCCTACAGGGGCAGCTTTATTACATTTAATTTAGGGTTATTACATATTCAGTTTTTCTCTATTTTTCTCTCTTGTGTTGTATCTCCTAGTCTCTCTTTAGTGCCCACACACAATGAATACAGTGTGATAATGATGATGTATTTCTGTGATCTCTCCTCATTGCCTCCTAGGGAAAGTGAGAAAGCACCTGTCTCCTTGTCTTGGCATTAGAGTAGTCTAACATCATTAAGTGGGCCAAATATGTCCTGAGTAGGCCTGCATTAAGCAGGTTCAGACATGCAGTCTTATAAGTTGGGTGAATTTTTTCAGCTGGCACTTTTTGGACAATTCAAACAATTTGCGCTGTACTGTGCACCAGCACATATTACAAATCCAAGTCACCAAGACAAGAAGAATAACCATGATTAATGGCTGGATGTGATTTTATTGTTGCTTCTTCACAACTGCCAGTAGTGAGTCACAGCTGATTTTTTTTTACATTTGTCTCTCCCCCAGAATGGGCAGCTGCAGCAGCGTTTGGATAATGTCCAGAGAGACTTCATTGTCTTCAACAGAGAAAAGTAAGAGCCTATTCTTTCTTCACCAGCTAATACTGCCTTCTCATGGAATAAATAGCACTGTAGCTTTCAGTAAATGAAAAATGAGAAACAATGACTCACAATGTAGGTAACTCTGTAAATACTATGCCTTTTCACCATCATTAATAATAATAATAACAACAATAATAATAATGATTGTTTGGTTTGCTGGATATGCGGTTTAATAAATATTCTAGCTGTAACCAGGAATAATAGAATAATCCGTGCTGCTTGGTAGAAGCATGAAGGAAGGTATTAAAAAAATTAACAACTGGTAAAGGCTGCCCAGTACTGAATGTATCCTGTATATCAGAAGTTTCTGGAAGTAATAAGAGATATGATTCACCACCATAATTTGCATAAGGAAATGTTCAGGCAGGTGCAATGTTGACTCACGCAGTGGCATATTCTACAAGAACATAAAATAATTTCATGATTATTTCGGTCTATCTAAATCATTTATCAAACCTTATTATCCCAAGCCAAGCCAATAGTACACAGAAAAGGCATAAAAACAGATATTAGAGGCTATGAAATTGTTGCTTTGAGGAAATTAGTTTGACTCAATTTGCTGTAAAATAAAATGGTAATTTAGTCTTCAGCTAGCGTAACCTGAAAGTGTAAATATTTATACTTCTATATTCATTATATGAAATTAAATGATATGTAGTATTATCAACATCCAAATAACAAATTAAACAGTTGGAAAGCTGGAAAAAGACAACAATAGAAAAAAACCTAAAAGCTTAATTTAGAAAATATATTTTAGTATTATTTCAAAGTGCCATTGTTATTTTACAGGATTTAAGGTAGGACTTAGATTACTTATGGACTTTTTGGCAGTATAATGTATGCTTAATGATGTATACAGTCCTGTGAACGGGTTCTATTAGGGTGTAGATCATCCCTCCAGTAAAGCTTTCTGTGCTCCTAAAACAAGTTGAAGTTGTCTATAAAAGTCAACTCATAGATGCCACAGAGTGAGGAGAGTCAGGTGTGCAAGCTCAGCAGGCAGCTGGAATGACCGACTCCACGGCTCAGAGTAGAAACTAGAGATGAAAAGCTCACTCTTCTTTACAATGTTGCTTCAGGTCATTAAAGTTTGCAGGCATTCTTTTATGCACAGTTCTCTTGATTTCTTGACACAACTTATCAAGTGGATCGAGGTCTTGACTTTGGCCCATTGTGCCACCTTACTTTTTTTCTTTTCAGCCATTCTTTTGTAGATTTGCTGCTGTTCTTGTGATCATTGTCCTATCACATGACCCAGTTTGGAGTTTTAATCAGACATATGTCCTCATATTATATTCTAAAATGTCTACATATAGACTCTACTGTTTATGTATAGAGTGGCATTCATGGTGGATTCAATGAATGGCTGAAAAACAGATCCAAATCATCATCCCTCCTACACCATGCTTGACTTTTGGCATAATATGTTTGCCATTTGGTCTGGGTGGGCGACCGTTGTTCAGCGGGTTGGAAAGCTCATCTTGTAACTGGAAAGTTGCTGGTTCGATCCCCAGCTGTTTTGGTCGTTGTGTCCTTGGGCAAGACACTTCACCTACGGCCTACTGGTGATGGCAAGAGGGGCTGATGGTGCGATATGGCATCCTCGCTTCTGTCAGTCTGTCCCAGGGCAGCTGTGGCTACAACTGTAGCTTGCCTCCACCAGTGTGTGAATGAATAGTGGAATTGTAAAGCGCTATATAAATGCAATCCATTATTATTGTTTGTTTGATGCAGCTTTGCAAACCTAAATCGAATTGCTGTGTTGTTTTTAGAGAGAATAAGATTCCTACTGGGAACACTTCTGAACAAACCTTGTTCTTGTTCTTTTCATGCTAACCAAGGCCTGTAGAGTCTCTCATGTAGCTATTGGCTTTTTGGGAATTTTTCTGAGCATTGTGGTCTGATCTTATAGTGAAATTGCTGGGACGTCCATGCCTGAGATTGGCGAGAGTCTTCAATGTTCTTTACTTGTGAATAATCTTTCTCACTTGACTTCAAATTGGGTGGAAATGGCTTATAACGGTTCCTAGGTTGGTAGGTAGCAACAGCTCCTTCTTTAAGGTCATTGTGTTACATTTTGTGACTACCAAACTGCTAAAACCTCTGCTTTTACAGAGGTGTTCACACTTGTTGGTGATTAGCTAATCAAGTGCATTTGATTAGCAGCATCTGCTTGCTACCCACCCTCTTAATTCCTATGGACGCTAATCTAAAAATTGATGCTCCTGTAAAAACATCAATTTTTAGACTAGTGTACAAGGAGACCAAATTTTAAGGTAACAAATAGCTAAAATTTTGGTTGATAAGGTAGGAGAAAAGGTCCGTAGGTTTAGCTTTAAAAGAACAATTACTGTAAAATAGGACCAGCTACATGTTTTTGTCATCACAGGGAATAATATCTGTACCACCAGCTGATACATGTTTCCCTCTTAAGTATCCATTTAAAAAAAAATCATAAAATGCCAGGCTAGCAATTACAGGTTGAATGTCAAGCTAAAATGATCCAATTTCAGTGCAATTAGTTACTAAGTCATTGCATGGAAGATGAAAAGATGTGTTATTGTTAACTTTTACAGTATTCTTGCAGAATATAGCAACAGACACCGGCTGACTTTATATCTACTCAAATAAATCTTTCATCAACAGGTCAAGAAAAGCAGTGGCGGACACCGAGTCCTCTGAATTGTCCACAAGTGAGAAGAACAAGGCAATAGAAGATGGACAGAACAACAATATCGAGCCAGCTGCCTACTTATCAGGATAGATCTCATGATGCGAGATCCCTGCTTACTCCCTCATCACTTGCACCTGCCCACGGCTTATATCTATCTGCAATTTGCACCCAGACACATATTATTCTATGAGCACAGGCACTCGAAACTGGCCTTCAGTGTTCCTGCACCACTTTGTTATCCACAACACAAATGCGCCACAGTATGCACTTGTGCATCTCTGTTCACTCACAAAAAATAAATTGAGAAGAACTCCAGGACTGCAGGAGTGAAATGGACTCCTGGAGCAGCAGCCATGCCCGAGCGAGGCATTTTTCCTGTCACCAAGAAGAATGGCTCTCAGCAGAGTGTCACTCATATAATGTTCCCTTACATCCATCTGGTGCTCTAATATCTGCTCAGCCTCTACTCCGAGCAGTTGCTGAGGTGAAATGGTAGTCACTTCCCTGCCTGACAAAGCCACATCTGATCAGCTGGTCAACCATGGCCAAAAGCTATATGTGCTGCTGCTGCTTGGATGGGAGACTTTTTAGTCCGTGGTGGTTATGTAAGTGTAACATGGTTCACCAGTGCTACATAAAAAATGACAACAAGACGGAATTAGACCGACAACATAGCAGATGGGCAGCAGGTGTTGAAGAACACTGAGGATGACACCATTGTACAGTGTGCTCTATTTAATATCGGGACATGAGCATGACAATAGGAGTGCAAAACATTAAAACTGAACAACTTTGAAACATAAAACAAGATATTTGATTTAACACAGCAAACACCAGTTCCTCTAAGAAAAAATTCTGTGTAGCTAAATTGTAGAACTGAGCACGAATGGCTCATTTTATCAGAGCAGCAGGTATATGTTGGTAGTGGTCATGTTGCATAGCTTTGCCAGTTAACAAAGATGATAGGATTTTAGCATTTGGTTTGAAGTCCCAGTTCCAATCAACAGCAGATATAAGCAAAGCATCCCATATGTTTTCTTGACTTGCTTATGGGTCATGATGTTTATTTAAAATGCAGCTACCAAACTAGCTTTTTCTCTCAACCTTGGATGTTTATATGGAGCTTTTACGTTTCATGCTGACTTTAATCAGTGTGTCCTGATGGAAATCTTCATCAAAACGCTGACATTTTGGACTAACCTTTGCTTCAATCTGCAAATGACAAACTGGGTCTTCACAAAAAGGTTCACTGCGATGAAAACATAGAAAAAAGCTAGAGGGTAGATGTTATATGTTCTGCACTGAACCTCGCTTTGCACACGCTTCTTCATAAAGTGTAGCATTTATGCACAGAGAAACAAAAAAAATAAAGATCTTATGCTGTGAGTGAATATTTATCTCCTTAGGGTGGTTTTCTAGATGATGATTAAGCTGACTCCTAGACTGCATTCATTTTTCAGTTATTGTCTGCACTCATGTCTGTTTTTGTATTTTTTACTTATGTTCTTCCTCTTTTGTGTTGGATACAACCAAATGCATATGTGCCACCAGATAAGTCTGCAAATTTGTAATCGCTCTTAATTGCTCCCATAAAAAACAGAATCCATTTGCAATCTGTCGCTGCATCAACACATTTGTGCAGCTGCTACAACACTGATATAAAATTTGGCAGCATCCAAATGAATACAAGGCGTGAAAACACCCTTCTTTCGTTCAGTAAGATTTGCCATAGACTTGTTCAATATTATATCCGAAAACCACACCTGCCTCTGAGGTTTGCAGAGGGGTGCCTTAGACCATAGATATGGCACACAGCTGGTTCCCATAGCTATATGTGCATGTTTTAAAAACCTGAGTTCTTTTCACAATCTGTAAGTCAATGTGATTTATACTAATCCCACTGTGCCACTCTATTGACCTTGAGCTTGTCTAGCTGCAGTATCACTCAATCCTTTCAAGTCTATGATCTCTTGTAATTACATTTAAAATGTAGTTTAATCTCTAATTGAATGACTCTTGGCACTTTTCTACTGAAGACAGGTGCAATGTTTTTCAAATTACTTTTGTGGTGTCGTTGTTGTTGTTGTCATAGATGTGATTTTAGAAATTCAAAGGTGGGTTTCTGTAAAAGGTGTCTGTATATTATAAGGTGGGATAGTTCAGTAGATGGAATAATCCTGGATACACGTCAAGCAAACAGTATTTCAATTTGATCTTATACGGGTATCAAAATGTTGGAATTATTGCCTCAATGTGGCACATTTGCCACCTTCAAAAACCAAAAGAAAAACAACAACCCCAAAACAAAACTCAATGGCAAATGGTACTTGACCCAGGTAATATAATTTCTCAACAAAACATATGTGTTAGAAGAAAAAGAAGAAGAATTTATTCTGAGAATACACTTGTTCCACACATGTGAATCTCACCCCTCTTACGGTTTTGTTGTCCTTCAGTTGTCACTGTGTGTTTATTGTAATTAAATGTGTTGGGGTTGCAAACTGTTAAGGTGTGCCTTAAATAATAACTTTCTTTTTCTGAACCAACCTGACTGTCCTTGTGCTTTATTCCATTAAAAAAAAGAAAAAAAGTTTGATTTGGAGATTACTCTGCTCCAGTCTAAAGATAATGCTGCCCCCTAGTGGTAACTGACTACAGGTACAGTGAGTCTTGGATTGGAAACCTATGGTTAATGTGCAAAAAGGAGAAAGTTGAAAACATTTTTGGTATCACATGTGGAGAAATCAAAACCAAGCTAATGTATATTGAAAAACCTGCTTCAGTGGCCATTGTTTACTGTCAGTGCGACACTAGGCTAAATTGGCAGTGGATAAGTGTCTCAGGGAATTCCTTTAATGCAGTCAGTATCAAACAAACTCAAAGCATTTCCTGTCCCTTCTCTCACCCACATGCATCTACAAATACAGACCTGAGACCTGAGACCAGCCCTTCCCTAGGTTATCTCGAAGGCACAGTCCAATCTCTCCTCCATAGAAACCAGAGCTGAGGCAGCACTTTCCACATAAATGGCTGATCTGAGTTGGTGGGGATGGGACTCTCAGCTGATAAATACTTCCCCAATCTGCTGGGCATCAAACAGATATAATCAGCAAACCTCAGCTTGATGATCTCTCTGCTTATCAAGAAGGTAAGGGAATCGCTGCCAGTTTGTTAGTCCGTGTGCAAAAATGAGAAAATGTCCACTGTGTTTGATAATAAAGGTGATTTATTACTTATAATCTATAATTTTCCAAGGCAAATAAGAGCGCATTAACACTCTCAACTATTAATACATTTCCAATAACACTTAAAGTACAGGAAATAATAATACTACACAGTCAAACCCCTTATTTTATTACTACTGCATGACTGGCATCAGCACTACTTCACCAAGTGGGAAATGAAAGGACTGGATGAGTCTCACAGGCTCATCTGAAACAATCTGAACTCCGTAAGTTAAATGTAAATGTTAAGGGAAGGAGAGATATTCATAACTCGTCCTGTTACAGTGTTGTTTGTTTACATCAAGTGTTTTTGCAGTTTTTGTGCATGTCTGAAGATGCTTGACAAATTTCTGGAGAGTATTCTGATAATGATGTGAAATCAAACCACAGTGTGCACTTACAGCCACCACGCACACTTCTGTTTAGATTGCGGTTGCAGACTCATTGCTCCCATCATTACAGTGATGTCATGAGACATTTACTCACTACCTAACAATCCAAGAGGGATCTCGCAGAAGTTTTACTGCTGGACCATAAAACTGAGGGCATGTGTATGTAGCCCCCGCTATGAAAGACCTATGAGAGACTATGGACACTTTGTCCAGCCAAAGTAGTCAGATTTCATTCTTTTTTCTCTGTTGTGGAAGCACATGTAATTTTATTATGTTATTTTCTTAACCTTTGTTTAAACAAAATGCCAACATTGCCTGGCATCCTGAGACTTAACTATGATTAAATTTCACTCGAGGTGTGAGTGGTACACCTTTCTGTACTGCTGGACCTGCACACTGTCATTCTTACAGTCCCTTCCTCGCTGCAGCGCTGACAGTATGTTTGCTGAAGTTTTACTGCAATGATTATGCTAATTCTATTGTTGACAGTAATAAGATGTATAATGCATAATAAGCTGCTTCACATTTCCAAGGCAGTGGGAAGCCTTTTAGGATTTCAGGATAGAGAAATACTGAAATCCTGCACAAACTGTGCCACAGCTATGTTTCCATACCAGTAGCTGCAGGAGGCTGAGTTTTCCACAATGAGCAAATACATGACACATGCAAATAGTTAGTTAAGACAAAAGCAGACACAGTTCTGACACTCTGACTGAGAAACCTGGATAACAGGCATCTGGCACTAATAAACTTTGCTCTTAGAATAAATGTTTTAAACCATGAACCTTCCTGGAAGTGCTTCTGTATTATTAGAGTGCTGACCATTCTTGCTAAATCATGACAACCCGAGCCTAACAGAGGCAGATGAGGCTCTTTTTGCTTAATAAACAAAATCAGATTTCAAAATAAGTTTTGTATTTACTCTTAATCTACTACTAACTTACTTCAGCACAGCACTGTAGATCTTGCACATGTGTAGAGATGTCAGAAGTTCTTCGATCATCCCCGGAGATATGCAGGCCAATAAAGCAGAAACTGTGGCCACATAAAGATGTTTATGCAGAGGTATAGTGCTGCAGGGCTCTAATCACTATTTATTGGGAAGTGAGTCATGGCAACTTTTCACAAAATACATAAGAATGACCTAACACGCGAAGTGCATATACCATGATGGTGCCAGAACATTTGTCCAAACAACATCCAGAATTAAAAAGTAATTATGGATGCAAAACAGATGTGAAGTGAAAGAAGCAAAGTTAATCAAAGTAGATCATTTTTATAGTGTAGCGTACAACTTTCATTTGCTGCTAGAGCATTTGTTGTAATATTTTCAATTATATATTTGCTTCAAACGATTGTTTGTTTGTTTTTAAATTTACATTTTATGCAAAATGCCAACTTTTTTGGAAACAGGGTTGTAAAAAAAACTGCCTTGAAGCCTTCCTTGCTTTACACACTCAAACTAGTCTATTAAATATTTCCATACATCTTGATGTTAAATAATTAATATTATAAAATAAAACAAGTCAGCCAATAAGTTGCAACTCATGTTTATTCTGGAAACAAATCATACGTCCAAAGCACACTGTATTTTTGACCTGCCATCTCTGGGTTTCGATACAACAGTAAAAAAGAAACAACATAAAAACAGTAACAAAGGTTGTCAAAGTAACATAAATACAACAAACCACCTGCCAGATTAAAAAAAACACAATCGTCTTCCCCTCTCCCCCCACAATGGGCCAACAACAGAATACAAAGCTTACCTTACTGCACTGCAATCCTCTGCCTTATCAAGAAACAGCAAAGACATGAAAAAAACACAAACACCCCCCAACACAATCACATCCAGAGTATTTAGGTAAACTGAACTGGGCTCAGTTATATTCGTGCTGATGTTAAATGTGCTGCATTAGAGGGCTATGCTGTGATGACAGAGGGAATGACGGGCTTCCCCTTGTCCTAGTCTTGAATGAAAAAATAAAGCCAGAGCTAAAGTGTTATCATAAAGCAGGTTTGTTATACTTCATCAATTCATTGCATCAGTCTTTTTTGTTGCCCTCAGTTGCAAAGCTCTTCAGTTAAAGTCGTAGTTACAAGGGACAGTTACATTTATTTTTAATTCGTGTGATCATCCTTTCATAATCTTTTTTCCCCTCCCTTTATCCTTTTCCAGATGATTCAGGATTGCAGAAACAGCCAGTAAGTTAGAAGCAAATGCAAAGGACGGTTTCTCGCAAAGCTCTTTTTTTCTAGTGACGATGGAATGCAAGAAACAAAAAACTCATATAAACGTTTTTTTGGGATTAAGAAAAAAATCTGGAAAAAAAAATGTTTCTAATAATTCTTCTTTCTATTCTTTTGTTTTCACATAATCTTTCCCAAGCAGATTTGTCCATATTCCTTTTTTTTTTTTAAACATCAATAATCAGTACAGTACATCATGGGGATGGTAGTCACCAAAAAGCAAAGAGGAGGAGTGCAGCAGTATCATGGATCACGTCACCCATATTAATGCGGCCCATGCAGCTCCATGCCCGACAGCACTCCTGCCCTCAGATTCGATAACTACCTTTAACTTGGTCCAGGAAACCCAAACAAGCTGCAACAACATCATCCACAAAGCTACATCACATCTACCATATGTACAATGCCACCTAGAGCTAACCAAACATACTGCAAGATAATACATGGCTACCGTGGAATCTAGTGTTATGTTTTGCTGACTATGGAGCAAGCAGGCTACTGAAAAGGGGTGACATTGAAAGCCGAACAGGATGAACGAACGATAGCGTCATTCTGAGACATGTGGTATCCGTTTTCCTTTGCGAACAGGGTTTGTTTTTTTGTTTTGTTTTTGTGTGATTATACTGAGTTTTCCTGATGTTTTCACATTGCCAAAGTACCAGATAACTATTCCACATAGATGAGTAATGAGACTTAGATCAGTCATGTGAATTTGGTGGAAATTTCACACTTTCAGTAAAAAAAAAAAAAAAAAAAATCCCAAAACACAACCATCTATATACTTGACGCTGGTTCACATTCCAGAGGAAAAGGGATACTTTTCTCATATGAGCATAGTAGCATTGTGACAGGTAAGGCATGAGGATTCAGTGTTTTGCTTTTTTCTTTTGTTTGTTTTTGTAACTTTGAAATAATCGTGGTCCTCTGCATCTCCTCCCCCCTCCCCTCTTCAATCCTGCACTCTGGCTGTTGTCATTTTCTTTCTGCGTGTCCTGCTGTTTAACTGAGAGATGTGATGTTGGAACGACCACCAGGGGGCACTACGATGCGCCTTCCAGCAGGCCTGATGGGGATGTCATCAGGGGTGGGAGGACCTGCAAAGAGAGAGATGGACAAGATAAAGAGACCAAAGATATCGGCTGGGGGGTGGGGGCAGAAAGCAGAGTCAAAGAGTACAAAAAGAAGACATCTGCAGGGTTTCTCTGAGAAATGAACACATAGATTTCTAATTAAACCCAATCAAATTCCTATAAATTACTTGTGCTTGCATGGAAAACACTGGCAAGCAATTTAGATATGGGAGGAACATACATTTACACATTTAGTTATGCACTGGTAATCTCAAGTGCATGTTCATGAAATTAATGGTAAAGTGTGAATTACATATGTCTTTGTGTAGTCTACTGTTTACTTTAAAACCCCAATTTTTCTTAAAGCTGTGAAAATAGGTAATAGGGTAAATATTTATCATACAGTCATGAGTAAAATGTTCTTTTACCATGTAAGATCTAGAGCATTTGGCCTATTATATGTTTGTTTAATCTCAACGTCATAATCCTATGAAATACTACGCTATTGGTGATGTCTCAGGAATGTATAAAAGTTATATGACTACTGTATTAAAATAAAAAATAAAATATCCCACAACAGGATTAAAATCTCACCAGACCCCTCATTTGAACCCCAAATCAGTTCTCCGGTGTAAAAAAAGTAAGCCCCTAGCATAAAGTGTTACAAAGATATATAATCATCTAATATTTTGCCCCTTCATATCTGATTGGTTAGGCTTTATGGAACTAAATTAATTTCTTAGGGTGACTGGGTTGAATTTAAGCTCTAACAATGTTAAACCATATCAAATGAGTGTAACTCGATCAGATATACAAAGCAGTCGGAGCGCCTCTGCCCTTGTACAAATTAGGTTATGCTGTGTCGTTTTGTTGAGATGAAAGTAACATAACAAAACCACCGAGATAGTCTTGTATGTTGGGACTACAGTAATGTGAAAACATGTGACAGATTAAATAAATCAGAGAACTGATGGTGGGATTTACTCCCTTTTGCCCTCCACTGGAAACCAGTAGCAGCATTTGTCAATCCTGTCAGACAGGACAGCTTTCATGTCATCACGGCACACAAATAATTGCCATGATGCACTCACGTTATTACTCTCCCAACACTAGAGTGCTTCTTGAAACACATCATTATCTATGACATATGGTATGTATCACTGAGGTGACAGGGGGATGCAAATGTGAGTAGACCTACTGCTGTACGAGGACTGTGAAACATTAACAAAAGATGCTTAAGTCTGACATAAAGAATGGTGTTTCCAAATGATAAGTCAGGTTGCCTGGTCTAACTAATGATCAGTGCGTGTATAAATGGAAAGTGGAATGATGTCAGACTATGATACACTGTGTCTAAGCAAACAATCCTTCCCAACTTCTTCCAGACAAGCAAATGTACTCTGCAGGCAACTAACAAGGAAAACTATAACAGATCAGACTCAGTGAGAGAGCATGCACACGAAGGCACATACAATTATACAGCAAACGTACTTAATGTTAATAGTTCAAAGCCTGGGAAAGTAGCAGCAGTCTTACTCCCCTCTTAAATCATGTACTCAAATTTAGAAATTCTTTCCAGTGGAGGTCATTGTCTTTTTTCATCTCTGAGTTCAACCACTTGCAAAGACAGGTTGCTTAATACAGTAAATGCCAAACTTCATTAAGTACAGTTGTTTATCCAAATGAGTTATCAGCTTTTAAAAATGATCCATATATTTGTAACGACTTCCAAAGACTACAGTGAACCCAGCTGTGGTCTCTCCAGGTTAACCAGAGTTGCTCTCACTGATGTAATGCTACACATGGACACGTTTAGTCAGTCAGGGAGGACAGAATCAGCTACGGTCGCTCTGTTTGATTGTAAAACAGCGCAAACACTGAGTGGCTTGGGATTTTAACACGCGTATGAAGCGTCACTGCTTGGTAGCTTGACAAAGTGCATTTCTCACATTTGTTTACTTGAAGCTAATCTAGTGCTGCCCTGACACATGGGCACAATCATACTGTCACTCAGCAGCCCAGCAAAATTTAACAGATGTCAAACGTGAATGTTATTGTGAGCTCTCACATTATAGTATCTTAACAAATCAGGTCCAGATGATTGCAAATGCTGTACTTTTTAAAGCTCGAAACGTAGGTTCAAATGTGGTGAAAACTTCATTTCCTGCAGCTTTCTAAAAATCTTTTCAAAGTATTTTCTTTTATGCTACCTTGTTAAATGTATTTGTTGGCTTTTTGCCTTTATTTAACGGACACATTTTAAGAGAGACAGAAAAGAGGATGAGAGAGAGAACGATAGAGAGGAATTACAGGAGGTAAAGGACCCGGAGCAAAACTAAGAAACTAAATTAAGAATATAAAAAACAGACACAAATCTTAACACATATCCTGGCTTTGCAAAGCCTACAACAGTTCATGTTGCTAAAATATTAAGAGGGCTTGAATTCTATTAGAGAGGCTGTATTACTGTAGTTGATGTTAATATAAACATTCCTCTGAAAATAGTCAGGTACGAGAACTAGACTGGAAATGAGTGAAAACTATGAAAGACCTTTGAAATAAAAATGACGAAACTGTCTATATTTTGCTCCCAAGAAGCAAAATATAAAGTTATATAAAGTGGATCAAGACTTTTGCACATATTTTAAACGCTTTTAACATTAAAGGCGTGCTTAATCCAGGGTCATGTTTACTTTACATCGAACAACACTAAAGTGAAAACTTTTACTGACTGTGTTAGAAATTTAATTTAATAGAGTCTTCAATCAGACTCAAAAGAACTCAAGCAACTGCCTTAATGAAATGCACAAACAGACAGCTCTTTTTGGAGCATTATGTACTGCAAGCAAATGCATGCCATACTGTGCAAATTGCAATGCATGAAACGAGATAATAAGACATTATTGGGTTACTCTCCAGTCAGCCAAGGACTTTTAATAAATCATTGACAAAACGCAAAGACATGATGAGAATCACACGACTGTTATCTGACTTCATATAATGAATTAGTAACTGAGTTAAAATAGAAGAGGATGAGGGTGGTTTAGCTGATGACCATGGATGCTCCTCTAATGTTTGTACGTACAGTATGCGGACAGATACGTGGAAGAAATGACTGGGTAACACAGGGATTGTTGTTCTATTAAAAAAGTGGTCTCACCGCATGGTGCAGGGTTACCTGCTAGACTAAATCCAGACTGGTGCAGGTTTCTGACAGGCTGTTTGGTTGGGGAAGTACGGGCCGAGGCTGAGGGGGTACCGCCACGGGACATGGAGAATTCAGAAACTGGGCCATCGTACATTCCCCGGGGCACTGCCCTCAGAACAGCCAACTACAGGACAAACAGAAAGAGCAGAGATGGTGAAAAGAAACATAAAGTACCTGCATGTAGAAACAGAACCAACATGCAGGTACTACGAGAAACATTATGGCATTTTGCTGTGCAACAAAAGGTTAAACGCAACTAGCTTCACACATGTTTAGCATTACATGGCTGTCTGTATAACTGTTTGTGTGTCTAAATTATATATGCATCTTTTCCTGCCAAGAGTCAGCTCCAGATTTACAAATCCACACAAACATACACAGAAACACGCAAACTGAAACACGAACACACACAATCAAGCCCTTCTCGAGGTTATAGAACAGAAGAGTCACCAAAATACAGTTATGTATTCATAAGCTTTCAAATCAAGTTGAAACTATTAGCTGACTGTGAAAAGCCATTGTCTGTATGTCTGTCAGTGGCGTGACTCAGTGGAATCTTGGAAGCTCAGTCAAGACTTAAAAAGAGACATCTGTGAATGAAGAAAAGCATAACAGTAACTGCTACCAAGACAAACAGCACACTGTTACTACAGCTCCATTTTTTCATCAGCAGCCAGCTGTGAATTAAGAAACTGTTGGGCTATGAGATTTCTCGGGCCGTAAGAAAGATGGCAAGAGAGCAGTAAGCAGGGGCTGCTTTAAGTATGAGCTGCTATACATCACATGGTTAAATGGGCCCATTTCTCACACTTTGAACAGATGAGTAATACTTTAGGGTGGGTGTCTAATGAAATAGTGCTACTTGACTACAGTAGCTTTCTGGGTTTGGCCCTGACTGCACATTAACATTTAATTTACCTTTAGTTTGGGTTCTCTAAGTTTCTACATGTATATATTTTTCTATTCGGATATTTTCACAAGTTCTCCTTGATTTCCCACCTATTCAGGAAATAAATATGGACAATATGTTTTACACCTTACTGCCAACTGATACCACTCCCATGTCTGTATGCTGAGTATGAAGCATCAAGCATGTATAGCTTAGCATAAAAACAAACTCCCTATGTATCAAGAAAGCATCAAGTTCTCTCCAACCTCAGCTACTCAGTGGCTCTTGCTGTAATCAAAGCCACCTTCCTAAATATCTTTTAAAATCGAGAGTCTAAAGTTAAAATGCAAGTTTAATAGTATGAGTAATCCTCTTAGCGTGTGCGGTAGGTCTCTCTAAAAGTGTTATCCAAATCCAAAGTCAATGTATCTTTATTAATCCGAGATGACAAAGCCATGACCACCCTCAGTGTATGGACCTTACAGCGTGTAAGCACAGTCAGTGCCCTGTGGCTGAACCTTGGAGGGTGATGTCAGAGTTATTATATCTCCCCCACATCCCACTTCATTGCCTCCTCCATGGCTGCCCTCTTTTCTCCCCGCCATCCTTACTTCCATTTCACCCTAGACTCTCCTTTCCTTTAGGTACATCCTAGAAGGCCTTAAAGTCCTTCACTGAGTTGTTTTTCCCATTTCCTTTGTATTCTATGGTTTTCTAGTTATGTTATTGTTATTCTGGCAATCTAACAGTGCTGTAACGGAGTTCATGTTGTTCAGTTCAAGTTTTATACACTAACTATATTACCACATGTAAAATGTAGGCTTTAAAAGAAGAATAACTGCACTTACCTGCTTCCTGGCTTTAATACGCTTATAGGCAAAGTCAGGGAAGGGAGAGCAGGGAATGAAGCGGCCCACTCCGGAGGTGGCGTGAAGGTTTCCATCTTCCAAAACGATCTTACCCTGGCAAATCACCACTAGTGGGGCGCCACGCAGCTCCATGCCCTCAAAGATATTGTATTCAGCAGCCTAAAAGCACACATATGATATTGTCAAAGATTGTTGCAGCGGCAAAGAAACTAGTGTTTATTAGATAAAGTTTCCTATTAGTTATATGCTAAATGTACTCTTCAATGACTGAGGAGAAGAGGTTAAAACTTAACTCTCTTTCTCGAATTCGTTATCATTCATCACCTAGTTCTTTACACTTGTCTGTTTGGCATGTACAAACAGCTGCCCTCATCCAGCTGGGCTCAGATGCCTTCATAGTACTTTGTAGTATCACCGCCCTTCCCTTCTTCTGGCTCCGTATGCTCTTTCACTTTTCTTTCTAATGCTCTTTCCAGTTGTCCACTTCTTAATGTTTTCACTCCCTTGCCTTCTCTTGCTTGATTTCTGTAATCCTTTGCATTTTTTAACCATGTTGTGCTGTTCATCCTCCTCCATTTTTCCTTGTGCCAACTTCCTTTTTTTTTTGTATGTATGTGTAATCTCTGATGGTCCCCTCCCCTCATTCCATTGTTGCTTATTTCCTCTGCACACGGCCCTGTTTTCTACTGCCATCCAAATTCAGGCCAGAACAGGACATAACTAAGACTCGCTGCATGCCAAACATGATGTCATGACTAATCTGAGTGGGCTCTCAGTGTCCAACAGTAATGCTGCCTGTTCTTCTCTATGTATCCAAATACCCTTATGCACATCTATGTATTTTATGTTGACAACAACAAGCAATCAAAACCAGATGTGGGTTTACTGATAACACACTGAGATATAACACAGTTCAGGGAAAGCATTCCCCAACACATTACGCTGGTAAGCAGGTCAGCTCCCGTTTGATTTTGCTGCCCATTAAGGCAAGACACTTGAAGACAATAGGATACAATGTAGACTACTTAGCTTACATTTAGACAATCTAATGAAATGTGTGCTTATGTATATTAATGTCCAGTTAGACTAGTTGTCTTTGAATAAGCACTTGAACGTGTGTTTTGGAAACTTTTTTTCTCTGTAGTCTGAAAGAAAGCATGTCGCTGAAGAAAAACAGGCCCCACATTTAAAAATTGATCAGGGCACGAAAAAACAATTGTTTTGCCTGCAATGGTTCTCCTTAAGAGAGATTTATTTGAAGTGGGAGCTGCTGTGATTCTGGTCATCTGCTTCTCTCTGTGGTTTTACAGCTGGAAGGGCGACTAGGAGGAAAGGAAAGGGGTGACATCATTATGCAAGAACCCATGGATCCTCGGTGGATGTACTCCACATTTAGAGAAGGCATATTATTAGTTCACTTCTCTCTGTTTCACGTCTTGTTCCTCCATCTGGAGACAGCGCCATAGTCTCGTCTTCCAACAAAAACAAATGTCATCGAGCCTTTAAGCAAGACAAACTGAAATCTACACGTTTCAATTCATCATACCTGCGATCAATTTAGATATTACTAGCTTTTCAGCTAATGCATAATCTCCCTGCTCGTGGACAGTGTTTATGCAAAAGCAGGATTTGTCCTAGGCTGCTGAAGCCGTAATTTCCTGTGCGGACACTTCCTCTGCTGCTGAGCGGCCCGAGAGGAATCTTTAACATCTGTGTAATGGCAGAAACCTCATTACTCATATATACCGTGCGTACTGTACACATAGTGTGTATGTGCAGAGCACAATGTGTGCGAGGCCCTCGGCTTAAACTGTAAGAGTGTACAACAGGATGCAGTTTCACATTTCTAATGTAATTTCACTTTCAGTATCGAACTCTGAACTCATAACTACACACAAAGACGCTCAGATTTCGAATGGCCTTAAGTGCAGTTTAAAAGGGTTATTCATTTACATTCTGCTGACCTTTTTACACTCGTTTCCACCCGCTCTCTTAGGAAAATGTGACAAAACATTTCTTTAATGTGAAAAAAACCCCCCAAGTGCTAACCTATAATATTATACATAAGTCAGTGCATTGGGAACCAGGAGGAAATGGTGTGCACTATCGCCTCTGGTCCAGGCTGCATATTGTGTGAGATGTTTCCCATTAAATCAAAAATACATTTCAACCAAAGTTGCTTTCTACTTATGAGACGTGCAGCTCGCCAACAAGCAGTGTATACAGATGTCCAAAATCTCCAAGGTTTTATGAAACCAGCTGAAATATTAGTGTTTACAGTAACAGAATCTCATACAATGAGAGCCATTCTTTAAACCCACTTTTCCAATTATTCATGTATTTTGGAGGATCTGTGCAAGTGAAAGTGATATAGAGGAAGGAAATACCTCTTGATTATACAGCACATACATTCTCTGTGGATTAACTTCAGTTCTGCTGAACTAGACATTTTGGCAGCATTTGCATCATTGTTTGTTTGCTGTTTGTCTGATTTTGTTGAATAAGCACGGCATAAATCTTTTTTTTTTTAATAAATAACTGCTTCATCATTATTAAGGAGTTTTGAATGTATTGAGTCTCAGCATTGAGACCTGGTCTTGTGGTGAGCCCAGTGTGGAGTGGAATTAGTGAAGATCCACTGAGAATTCATTTCCGTTCCGAGGTACTCAGACCTCTCTGGAAGCTGCTCAAAAATGTGCTTTTTTTCCCCCTCCCTAACTTACTCCCAGTCTCCCTTTCTCCCTCTCTCTTCCTCAGTCTCTCTTTTTCTTTGCCTCTTGCACACAGATGCAGACACTTACCTCCGATCGTACATTCTACTTGTCTGCCCCCCCGCCCAAAAATACATCTCACCCTTTAAAGCACAATTTTTCTTTTTTTCTTATTTCAAAAAATACCAGATGTTTTTTTGTGACACTCAGGCATTTGTACTTTCGCAGTGTAAAAATGATGTTGCTCTTCCCTTTTTTTTTTGGGGGGGGGGGTTGTAACACAGCTGTTATATTTAACCAACTAAATCAAATAAGGTTTTTGTGAGAACTTGTGAAGCATTACAGTGCCTATGGTTTTACAGCATAAATGTAAAACAAGTAGAAAGGGAAGCAAAAAAGGTAAAAAAAAAAAAGAGCCAGGACCTGCGAATTGAATTTAACTGATACTTTGGTCTGAGTACATACTGAGTTGTGTGTCTTGGCAGTGATGGTGCGAATGGCGTCCGTGTCCCAGATGACCAGATCAGCATCAGAGCCCACAGCAATCCGACCCTTACGAGGGTACAGGTTCAGGATCTTGGCTGCGTTAGTGCTGGTGACGCCCACAAACATGTTCTCATCCATCTTACCTGTAGTCTGAGAGCAAAACAAGCACAATGCACGAGCAAATATTACTGGAAATGTTGAGACTGTATCCATTATCCATATATTAGCATTATGGAGCACACCCTACAGCATGTAGTCCTACTACTGAAGACACATTATTCAGTTGGCTGAATGGTGTATTTGTAGTATTAATGTAAATGCATGGAGGACGTTTTTAAACTTTGAGAAAATATCCATGAAAACAGTTTCAGATGATGCATTTTTCTTACATTTAAATCTCTCAACATAAGATACTATATGTAAGTGAAGGTTCAATATTTTAGCATTAAACTATGAAGCTGTCATTAATGGGGGATTTCTTAGAAGATGAGTGGAAGCAGGGAAAACAGCTAACCTTTGTCAACCTTTTAAAAATAGGCCTGCTGACAGTCGGTCCAAGTTTGGTGTGAGCCAGGATTCTAAGTACTTGTGCTGAGGAAATGTATTGAGTTTTATGTTTAAAAGCCTACCCAAATTTCAGAGCCAGCAATGCACTTTACGGCAAAGCTAAACAAGGCTGCATGTTAATTATACGGACACGGTGATATAGAGAAAAAAATAAGGCTAGAGTGCTGTTTAAAGGGGAAACACAGACATGGATGGACATGTAAAAGAGGCACAGAGAGTGACATAGTGGAGCTGCTGAGTGAAACACAACAGGTGACTGCTAAAACAAAGCTAAGGGACATAAAGTTGCTGATGTTCCTCTGGGAAAATCGTAAAAATCAAATGAATCAAGATAAAAATAAAAATCACACGTCACCATGCGCCTCTATCAGTATGTGATTGTCCTCACCACAGCTTTGTCCCAAATGAGAGCCATCCTCTCCTCCACTCCATTGACACCTTCTGGGATCTGGGTGAAGTCATCCTTGCCAATGGCCTTCTGGGCCACGCTGAAGGTGCAGTGAGCGCTGCCAGTCACACTCAGGTCTCCACTGGGAGGAGAAGAGGCATATTGAAGGTATTACACCAGGACAGTAAAGTCTGTGTACAGCATTAAAGTTCTGTAAACATAAGTAAATATGCTTCTACTTCAGCAGGAGAAGCAAAACAAAACAGAAGGGGGACTGAAAGTAAAGAAGTATGCAGCGTGCCAGAGTTTGTCCTTCCAGTGTAAACCATTACTAATGTTTCCTGTTTCCACATGAAGCAGTAACTCACTTACCAGATGAAGTCCATTTCTTGCACAACAATTACTGATTTTTCATAAGAAACACAAACTTTGGATGTATCTAAATCTAAAATCTAAACTTTAATAGCTAGAATTTTACAACACAGTGGTGTTCATGGCACTTACAAAAAACAACGTTTCTGCACATGCAAAATGAAATTGCAAAGGGGATGTGTACCTGGACAGGAGTGTGTTCAGATAGTCTGGAGTGGTAGGATCGGGGCTAAGAGGAGGTGATGTTACAAAAGAAGCTGCTTTGGCCCAATTCTTGCTCCAGTAATGTGTCCCATCAGTGCCCAGACTGGCTGTGATTGGCTCCCCAAACACAACATTTCCTGGGAAAAGAAAATCAGTCAAAACTTTGTTAGACGTCAACAAAGTGCCAAGTGTGAGGGTATCCATTTGCATAATCATCAATTGCGTTAGTGCACCTTTATTTTTATTTTGTCAGCAGTTTAGTCTCGCTAAAAGCTTTGGCAATTCATGTGAAAGTTTCCAGCAGGGGAACCATGCCAGCATTGGCAATGCACAAATTCCACTTGCTCAGTTGCAGCTGAGGTTGTTCTCTTTCATGCACGGTTTGAGTCCTGTCACTAACACGTGTGCTCTTATGCTTCTTCATAGTCCCTTGCACTAACATACATTATTATTTCCTGGTTTTCATATAACAGCTCGGGAATGGAGCCAAACAAACGTGTCAAGCTCATAAATGCTCCTAATGGATTCACCTGAGTGCAGAGAAGGCTATCTGAGGTCAGCAATCTGGTGTGTTAAAACCTCATTTGGCTTTCCACCAAAGACATTCAAACACATATTGTTCTTCTCTGCTTGTTTTCATCACATTCTCAAAAATTGTTAATTTCACAATCCATCTACGCCAGGCAGGCTCTTGGTTCACATCTGTTCTATCCTCTAAGGAAAAGTGTGTGTGACAGCTCAACCACAGAAAAGACCTGAACAACAAAGCTGAATGTTACTCTAAGAGTGGGATATTTTTTTCATTATACCAAACAGAGACAACTCAGCGTGTACATTTCTCGTCTTGGAAAACACAGAAAAAGAAAAAAAAACATATAAAGACCCAGGACAAATTCTGCTTTTTACCTTTTTTCCGGGCCTGTGAGATGATGTCAGCAGCACTCTTGCTCATGACCCGTGTCACGTAGAGCGGACAGTTGGTTTGGCTGGCGATGGTGATGGCACGAAATACCGCCTCTGCCTCCAGCTACAGACGAAAGAGCACAATGCGGTTGACTCGGGAATGTTTTTCCCATTAAGATTTTGTCAAACAAACTTCAAATATCACTACCGCAGCAAATTATACATTTTTGGAGCTGTATCATTTGAATAATTTATTTTGAACCCGAACGACAAGGAGAAGCTTATAATTTTAAAACTGGGCAAGTCAAGGATTGTTTCAGTTATATTGTGTTTGAGTAGTTAAATTTAATGCGATCAGCAAACAAATGTTTAAAAGAAACTTAAGTGAGGTCAGACTAACACCCAGTACTTGCAGATTTTCTAAGCTGGGAGGCTTTAAAAACAAACATATTGGACACATTTTAGACACATGTCCACAATGAAAAGCACCTGGTGTTTTATTGTGATTATTGCATTTCTGAAATCTTCATCCCCATATTTGTAAATGCTGGCTAACGAGAACTAAAAATGACTTTAAATACAAAATTCTACAAAGATTTCAAGTAGAAATGTCACTGCCTCCATATGATGCAAACACTGTTTTCTTTGAGTCCAGAGGTTCAGTCTGGCTTCAATGACCACTGGATTAGTACTAAATAAGATAGTGTACACTAATAGAGAAACACTTGTCTGACTTTGCCTGCTTAAGAAAATCATGTTACCAATTTCTAGATTCTTAAGACTCCACTCAGCTACTTGACATTATGATACTGGTGGGACAGGAACCCTCTGCAGCAGCACAGAATGGAAAATCCCAGACAAGTCGTTGAGCTGAAAGTGTGGCTTTGATTTTTGTTGTTTGCTGAAGAAACATTCACAGCAAAAACTGGATGGAACAAGAGACTTTTTTTTCACCCAGTGTCTCAAATGTATCTGAAACCACATGTGTGTAACAGGAACAATGTGTGTGTCTGAGGACCAGTCCAAAAATGTCACTGTGCAGAATGTGATTCTTTACATGTACAACCATGTTTGTACTGTTTGCACAAAAAAATGATAAATTATAACATGGCTAATTTATTTGAATACTTTTTTAGGACAGTCCCTTTCAAAATGCTTGCACATGCAAATGATGCATAGTAGCTAATATTTAATATAGTGTATGATGTGTGAATGTTAGACCTCTTCTGGCCTGCTCAGCACATGCCCCTCTGGTCCAGTGATACCCATCTGCAGCATCCGGGCCTGCTCCTGTTCAACACACATGCAAAAAGTCAACTGTTAGCTGCTCAGTTTATAGACATAATGTACAGTATGTAGAACTTTCTGGGAGGTCTTCATCAGTCTACAAACTTCAGAATGATAAACCGTTTCTGATTAGTTCTGCGTGTGTTAAGTACACGAACAGCAGTTTTAACATGTGGGTCTGTGCATGGCTCAGAGCAAGGAAAATTTCACTTTCAGAACATCACCTAAAAGCAAAAACTCTGCTTTCAGGTTAGTTTTCTTAGGCATTAGTTTGTACCTTTCCTTGCATAGTGTCATTTAGAGCGACTGTCTGTGAGTTGAAAATGTATTACGGTGACATGCTTCTGCAAATAAGGCTTTAAGCGAGCATCTCATACCAGTGGAAAATCAGTAATACTCTGTCTTAGAAGCCTACGATTGGTCAGGCAGCTAAAATTAAAGACTGAGACTATATCAGCCAAAGGCAAGACAACTTGTACTGTAACTGAAGAAACTAGTGGCATTCCTGTGGTCAGTGCTCCCCTCAGCTATCTGAGGAGAAAAACTTTGTTGCAAGGAGCAGGACCTGTTGATGACAGACACGGAAAATCTAGACATGTCTACAAATGAGAGGAATCCCAGCTGTGTTACTACACGAAACAAATTTGTGGCTCTGATCAACATTGCTGCGCTGAGACTGTTCCCCTTCCCCAAACTCACACAGAAGAGGCTGCCTGGCTGCCTACATTGGGCAAGCAAAAGCAGTTACAACCTAAGTTTTTCAAGGTGCATTTCTAATACTTATGCTGCCTTCAGGAGATGCTCATGAAGTTGTTACAATAGATGGCCCTATGGCTAAATATGTTTGGAAAAGTTTAGAAATCTAGCATTGCTGATCTCACTCCAAGGAAACATAGAGTCAGGAAAAAGTTATAGGATATGGGAATTATGGAAGTTGCAAACCCTTTCAGGAAAAAAGTAACTGAACTTTCAGTACATGAGTTTTGAGAGGGGAGTTTATCTCAAACCGGCATTTATTGGCCATTTGAAGATGAGAAGCTGTCCTTTGGCATTTGTTTCTATGCTTTTCCATGGCTGTTGTTCTAACAGAGAGCTTCCCAAGCTAGCTGAGAAGTGGGGTCAAGCCAAAAGACCAAAACACTCACCTAGGAGGGACACTAGTCAGATACCTAATCCACCTTAACAGAGATTTTTTAATGCAGAGTAAGAAGAAAGACTGAACTCTTCTAAGGATGTGTCCAGACACCCATGGGAGAAAGCTAATTTCTGCCACTTGTAACAGCAATATTATATTAATATTCTTTTGGCCATTGTTCACAACTCATTGCCAAATATGAAGAAGACCCTGCCCCAACCTGGACTAGTGAATCAGGTTGTAAAGCATATCCTCAGGTTCAGAGTTGCTACTTCTCCCCCTGCAGCTTTGCACTTGGCCACAAACATCTCCAGTGTATGCTTAAGGTTGAAGCCAGCAGAACCACATCATCTGCAAAAGCAAAGATGTGACCCACCCCTTGGGTGCATCTAGAACTTTGAGTAATAAAAGCTTGAACATAATCAGGGGCAGCTCTGGCAGCAAATCTAAACAGGACACCTCTATCTTAGGTGGTCTAAAGTACAGTACATGACATAATCAAGTGTTCAGACATGTTGGTCTTACAGATGGAAATCAGACTTCCAAGTTAAAGTTGCAAACTGGATAGGAGAGCTGGGAATTGCGATGAATCAGATCCAACACGCACCCGCATACACACACAGTGACAGAATCCAGGCATGGTCTGGAGCTCTGACTAATACCAGCCCTCTCGATCCATCACCTATTACGGTTGATTCACTTTCATTTGTCCACAAAACGGCACAGCCCTGTATAAACTACACCCACACATTACAGTCCTACAGGAAACAGTCTCCCTCTCATCAGTGACAGTGTGTTTAGTCTCTAAGTAGTGGAGATGCACTGTGATAAGACTAGAAAAGTGAACTGAAGTGAACTAAACTGAAATAAATCATACTAAACAAAAACATATCACAGAGTTGGACCGGGCACAAAAGTTCAGAAAAAAAGAAAAATGAGGCAGTGAGGAAGCAATGGAGAAGAAAGGTGTCTGTTAGTGCACTCGTTTCCATTGTTACCTCAGCGATGATCTCGCCATTTTCAGCGTGGACCTGAGCGATGCCTCCCCGCTCTGCCAAGAAGGTAAAGACCTCATAGAGCTGGATGAGAAAGACACAGAAAGATTGAAATTACAGTGGCACTTCTTTTATATTTCAAATCCTGCCTCTCTGTTTACTCAAAGAAAGGGCACTCCTTTTTAACTCAGAGGTCACCCATAAGCCACAATTTAAAAGAAGCCCACAATTTACATGATGTCTACTCCGACACGCTGCAATTATTGTGTGTGGTCTCCAGAAATGGTGAGAGTCATGTGGATGAACTGCAGTTGTTGTTATGTTGCTGTGCCACAGTTCCTTAGCGAGCTGCATGACATCAGTTTTTCAGGCTGGACTATTTCAGTTGAAACATGTGCTCCTTTGACCAACCAAATTAGGTACGGCTGTATGAGAAACAGAGTCCTGCCTCACACCCTCTGGCTTTCCACTGTTTTTTGAGTCCTTATAAAATCACAGTACGCATAAATCAAAGGCTGTGAACAATAATTACGTAGTCCTTTTTTAGATACTTTGTCACCATTGGAGCCAAGTCACGGCCATTTTTTTTTGCATGTTGACTGTGAAGTTACAGGAAGTTGGCAATGACTCATTTTATATTGACTTCAACTGGGAGTTTGTGACACAGTGAAATAATAATAAAGGCCATGAAGTGAGCCCTTTTCTAATGTATGATGAATTGAGGACAAAAGCAACAGTCCTCAACAATTCAGTGCAAAACTAATATTAGGCCTTCGGTAACTTAAAATAGCTTTCAGAGTTAAAAAGTTGCAGCTGTGTCTCTTCAAAGGCACCATCTCGTCGCTGAGCCGAGTTGGAAAGATAGCAACACCAAAGCAAATTTTGCACTGAGCCTGGCATTTTTCAAAACTGTTGATTTTTCTCCCATCCCTGCACATCAAACATGCGGGGAAAGATGACTGCTGAGAACAAAAAGAGTTTTAACACAGATATTAAAACAGCAAAACCTGGTCTTTAAAGTGTGTGCTACATTTAAGGCGCTCTACCTCACTGTTGCTCATCTGGTAGTAGTCCTTGTACGCCATGTACACCTGGAATGAGTTCACTCCTGCAAAAACAGTAAGTCAACATGAGAGAAAGATAAAATGTGAAACGTTTTATGTAAAGTTTAATTTCTTTAACTACTTTTAAACAAAATCTCCCAAAGCACTCCACCCCCCCTCCCCCACGAAGCTCTTATAGCACGCCATCAAGACCCACCCTTTTCCTTGATGAGATTATCCACCTCCTGCTTTACGCTGTCATTCCAGTGGGTGATGTCCACATGGAGAGAGTAGTCGCAGCAGGCTTTCTCATCAGCCCACTGCCTCCACTGGTCATGGGCCTCTATCAGACTGGTACCAGGTTCTGACATCACATGGTCCACTGAAGAATAAAGGAAGACAAGTATTATCAGACAGAAAGAAGATGAATGCAAAAAGCGATATGACAGGTGAAGTGGCAAAGAGTTGACACAAGTGGGGTGGGCATAGTCACACGTAAGGAGACAAAGAGAGGGCAGCGTCAGGATCTGTCTGCTGGTGCTTTAACTTTCTCCCTGCATTGTTTATCTTGCATAATCAGCTGTCTGTCTGAATTCCTGCAGTGCTCAGCCAGTGGGAAATAACCTTGTCAGATGTCACATTGCATTTTGTACATCTCTATCTGGGTACAGGTGTCCTTGCACAAAAATTGAGCGACTTTACCTACTTTTATATTTTCTGTGTAGCCACGATCACATTTTTTATTAATAAGAATGGTGCACATTTCGATGCAAGTTCTTAAATGCATCATGAATGCTTTGCATGGATGCTGCTTGCATAAGCACAAGCACATATAATTACATACATAATGTGTATATTTGCATGATTTTCTGTGCAGATTGAAAAGCACACAGTACGAGTTTGTGTTTCTGTTTGTGGACACAACAGGATCACAGTGCACAAAATATCCTGCTACATCTAACTCAGCTCTAATAAAATAAGGCCTCCTGCTGCCTTGCCACCTGACTGCCTTCTTTATCTTATTAAAGAAAACCCAATCTGCTTATGTTAATAGGATATAGCTGAAAACAGCAGTCGCATACATACACACAGACACACACACACACAAAACAATGGCAAACGCTCAGTGTCCACACTTTTTTTGTTCACCGTCTCTCAACATAACCTCATTTGCTAGTTAAGACAGACATGTACGATATAAAAAAACAAAAAACACACAAGCAGACAGCAGAGTACACATTTCCACTTTCTAACCCCCTGGAATATAATCCCTCTATGAATGGAGCTCATGAATAGAGCTTACTACAGTAGCACGCCTGTTAGTGGCTTTGTCTGTTTGAAAACAGGGCCAACAGGCAGCAGAGGAGCAGTCAGCCCAAAAGAAGTTTTAATGAAACTGCAGCATCTACCAACTGTGACAGCATCTCATCCCTAACCTACATGAAGTTCACAAATCCACAAAAGAAAAGGCTGTAGTCAAACCAGACATGGGAGTACGACACTGATGCCCTATTTCTTTGGGAGTAGTGTTTCACTCTATAACCCCCACCAGTCATCGCCCCCCACGCTCAGTCTTTTGTATGGTCCTCTTTCGTAGTGGGACCAAAACCTTTTCCCATGCCTCCCTTTCTCTTTTCCTCTGTCTGGCGTTCAGCCATCCCTCCCCTCACTGCATTTTCTTTTTAGCTTTTTTTCTGAAAAAGCTTTACTATTATCAGCTTCACTGCGTGGGTGACCTTTCCTGCAGCTCTTACCGATCATGGTTGTCCCACCAGCAAGAGCGGCCTTTGATCCCTGGGCAAAGTCATCCACAGTTGTGGTTCCACGGTACGGCATCTGGAAGTGGGTGTGGATGTCGATACCACCAGGGATCACCATCTTCCCGTTGGCCTCAATGGTTTTCACACCACCAGGCACAATCAGATTGTCACCAATCTGCCTGTCAAGTGAAGATGATGTTATCGTAACTATATTAAAACCTGTCCATAAATGTACACAAACATAATATAAGTATTACTTCCCCTTTTTGATTATTTATCAAAGCTGAGATGCCAATTATTCAAATTCAGGGAACCAAATTATTCCAGAAAGGAAGACAACATAGTAAAAGGCAAAAAAACGTTTAATGCGTATAAATCTAAAGCAGAAAAAAAAACTAACTGAAACAAAGTCAACCTAGCCTGAAGCGGGACAATGTCACCATCCCAACACATTAACATTTCGCTTCTGCTAAAAAGTATTTTTATAGAAGACACAAGTTAGACAGGCAGGCAGAAGCCAGAGTCTCTGTGAGTTTGCCAACAGTCCAATAGTGCCGCCGGCATGTGGGTGTTTATCATGCAACACCAGTCTTTCTGTGGGCTCCTCTCTCTGAGCTGCCTCACTTAGGGGCAACAGGGACAACTGGGAATTCAAGTGGCAACAGAACAACGGGGAAAGCGAGTGAGACAGTTCCACTGTCCTACCCCAGCCTGGTCTGACGGGGTCAAGAACAGCTGTTATCAGTTTAACTGTTACCGCAACAAGTTCAGAGTGTTTTGGAGGAAGTGTTTATAAGACTGCTATTCATTATGTAGCTGGTGTTCACTTAGACTGTAATATCTGCTCTTCACTTAAATTTTAAAACTACCATTGCAAGTGGAGCAACCAGTTTTTAACCACTACTGTCTTAGGATCAAATAGCATTCAAAAACTAACAATCTAATCATGATTAAACTCATTAATATTAAAAGGTAATTTTCAAGGCCCAAGGTGCTCTTTTCACATTTTTTTACTACTGTTTTACCCTGGTATAGATAATTATTTCAAAAGAAGCCCTTTTGATTATGAATTTCTTCAAGAAATTTAGGATTATCTGTGTTTCAGAGTTTTGGAAAAGTAAAATATTTGAATTTCTACAGCAGCACTATGCACCTTCAGGGGAGAGAAGGATTTAAATATAAAGGGGACAAGTAAGATACCACATAGCCCAGACAGAAAATAGTTGATGAGGTGAACTATAAGTGGAGGGACGAAACCAAATGGGAAGAGGTGTGAGCAGAGCAGAAAAGAGGACAGTGGAATACTTACTTAATGAGGCCATCCTCCATGTAGATATCGGCATGGAAGGACTGATCATCATTAACAATCCTTCCGCCTTTGATCAGAAGCCTGTCGCTCTGTAGAGAAAGAGATGGGCAGAGTGGAGGGAAAAGGAGGGAGGGTGGGGTTGGAGGGGATGAAATACGGTAACAATTATGATTCTATGCAACGTTGTGCCAAGAAAATTTGTTTAGACATAGTAAATCATCCTCTACTGGAAATTTACTTGCCTAAGTCACAATATTACTGTACAAGAATTTGAACTGTACTCTGTTTGTCTGTAGTGAGATTATCTCCTTATTTCTTTCCACCCACAGGATATGAACAATGTTTCATTCATGGCTGCTAGAGAGGGGTACATGTGGTGGCCGTGTAACAAGCAAACACATCTCACATAGCATAACTATATGGACCACCCAGTAAGTCTGCGTGCCCAGAAAAACAAGCAAGATTTGGGAGGAAATGTCTTCATTTATTTGATGAACATCAACTAGTGTCAATTATTGCACAACTCATTACCCACTTTTCAGATGGCAGATGATTAAATGACATTCAATATCTGGATCATGTCAGATCTGTGACAAAATACTGGTTGCACTGATACATAAACTGACTATGGACCCATATATATGTGAAGAGCTCTGTGTACAGAGTATTATAACCTCCTGCATCCACACATGGGGACATTACATCCTGGCTTTGTTTGCATCACACACTTCATTCTACTTGTGTTGTGCTGTAAAATAAACCTAATGTCCCCTTGTGAGCATGTTCTCACAAGGGGACATGCATGTAACAAAGTATGTAAAAAGAATTCACACATAGCTAGAAAAAAGTAAAAAAGGCTCCCCAAACAACAGCTCTGGTGTCAGGAGGTTAAACAGCATCCTTCAGTCTTTTGCTCCTTTACTTGAAAGGGGGTCCAGTAAATCACCATAATTTGCAGACCTTTCCCTTCTTTTAAAATGAAAATTTCTCCAGACAGGGATGTCATCTGGGAGGCTGATGTTGTTGAAGCTCAAGCCGCTTTTAAGGTCATGGATTAACATCGTAACCACATTTATCCAGATTCTGTTACGCAATAATTTTAACCGTCAATGTTTTTTTCCTCAGCGTAATCGTTTTATCCAATAGACCGAATGCGATCACCAACTGATCACTCAATCATTTCATAAAGCAGACAATTTCTGATCTGTGTTACAAAATAATGCAAATATTATATAATCCCTACAGTGGTAACGAACATGTTCCAAAGTAAAACTAAAAAAGCAACACTAAGTCTGAGGAGCCTTTTGCCAACACCTTTTGATGTTTTGTGGCCTGATTTGGGTGTTGTCATGACGCCACACAGTCACACAAGAACAATTTGCTGCTGCACCATGGGCCGACTCTAGCAGGCCACTGCCATGGCAACAGGTTGACGAGAGGGAGAGAAGCAAGAGAGGAGAGACAGGGTGCGCCTGGTTTCGCTGATATGCTGGCTTTGCTGACTGGTTGAATGTACAACTGACTGTACAACAGGGTTAAGGGTTTACAGACGTGCCCTTGCTCACAAAATGAGCAAGGACAAGATATCTTCTTCATACAGGACTTGCTCAATAAAACAAATATGATGTAAGTAATTGAACATATTAATGCCTTAGGAAATTTAGCCTTGGATAACCTTATCACAATGACTTCATGACAAAGCTTTTTTCCCTTCACTTCATTCCACCACCTCAATCTTCTCCTTATATGTGGAGCTCTACACTTATGATTTAACAATAGGGTTCAAAGGTATATTTATTTGGGAGAATCCATTCTCCTGTCCGCTTCCTCGTTGCTGCTATAAATGGTCAGTTTCTTAAAGTATGTCTGAGTTAAATTACCCAGTGAATTTCAGGCACAATCAACAAATATTTGCACTTATCTGCTTCACAAATTTTAAAAAACTGCTTTAATTATCAGGATATAGGTTTAATTCTTTTCTGTTTAGAACTGTTTTTAGGACAAAACAAGGCTTCTGCACATGTCATCCTCAGGTGTTGGAGCTTGTGATGTGAGACTTGTGACATTTTTTTCGAATAGATGACAAATAAAATAATCAATACTGAAAAATTTGTTGCGACCTGCAGTATTTAGCTTCCGTGTAACCTTCACGAGATAATTAGTTATTTTATTTTTTATTATAATTAATTTTTTACTAAAATGGATTAGTAATCGAATTAGTTCTTTTAAAAAAGCATCGACATTACACTGAAAACCAAAAAATATAGCCTTATTTATATACCCAGTCTCTAAAACGGCAAGACTTGGTCTTTCCTTGGTCTGCTAAGAGGAACACACCATATTTTCCCATCAGCAGATGTGTGCAACAATTTACAGCCCCTGGCCGTGGACCCAGAGTTTCATCATTATAATAAACTGCAGCAATTCCTTTGAACATAACAACAGGAAAAATAAAAGTATTATCGTGTACATAGCTCGAATATCTGCTGAGCTCAAAGACACACAATGTGGCTATTCATGAGTTGTGTGGTAGTGATTGCACATATTTGGTGGTGGTAGTGATGGACTAGTGCGAACCAGAACCCAGAGTCTTCCCAAGCAACCACACCCTGAAGCAACACATTACAACACACAGTCATCAACTCCTGGAACGCCACACTAGCATAGATCATACTGCAAAGCTCAATGCCTTCATTAGCTTAGAGAGAACGCCTTCCAAAGAGTGCTCTGTCATAATAATTTAACATGACAACATTACTGAATGTGAATAGGGAGTGCACACAGACAACTTTCATAGCATTCCAGTAAAGGAAACAGACGATAAATTTGTCAGTTAATCAAAAAAAGGTACAAAAGATGCCCAATGTTGTAAAACTATTGTAACAAAATCAGCCTTTGCATGTGACTAAATGGTATTTTCCTTATCGTTTTTTTGACATTCTTTGACAGATCAACAACCTAAGATGACCATAACCCAGAAAAGATTTTTCAGTTATTGTTATAATGACAGCTCCTGATGAATTTGATGTTAACCAAGTTAATGATCAATTGTTGCAGCTCTACAGCTGTCAGTTTAAATGGTGGTGAAAAGCAGCTTGTAATGAGTCAAAGGAAAAATACATTAGTTGCAGCTGCCCACAAAAAATTAATGCTACCAAATCTGATTCTGCAAAATCTGAAATCTGATCTTGTCTCCTGGTCATGACTTATGGTGTTAAATATGAGACTTTAGTTTTTGTAAAATGTTGTGATGTATCAATGAAGTTGACCTCTGATTTTTGTAGATTAAAAAATTATTTTGTGGTCTCAGTAGCTTTGACATTCGCCCACTCAGTTCTAATCAGTTCATCCTTGAGTCCCATGCCAGACTCAAAGAAAATCCCTCAAGGATTCAAAATCTACTGAATTCAGACTACCTCGGATCTCTAAAATTGGAAGTTTTTTTGTTTTTCTTTTTTAATCACTCGGAATATATGGTTAAGAGTCACTGCTGTTTCATTAACATGAATAAGAATCACTAATATAAATATTATTGAATTAATAGTCAGATAGAGACCGGCTTACATCAGCAGCATCAGACAAGAAAAGGTTTTACCTGATTTATAATACTGCAGCGATGGGTGTGCCATCATGCATGGGTGACTTACTGAAGTGCTTACACCCCCTCCCCCGTCCTCTCTCTCTGGCACGCACACAAACACACACACTCATTTTACCCTTTTCAATTTCTGGCCACTGGCTGATGACAACATGCAGGAGACCGCAATCACTTAACAATCAATAGCTTTCCATTTCCGTTACAACCCAGTAACTGACCATTGCTGAATTGCTCAGGACTGCATTTCACATTAGATTCTTTTTACACTCAGCGGAAACCAAGATGCTGAAACGCTTCATGCCAGCAGCTCATGTCATCGGTGCAATATCTAACAAGACAGATATTTTTAAAAAGCAAAAAGCATGGCCAAAAAATTGTTTCAATAATAATACAAACCATGAACTAGACGCAGAATGCGTGGCCAAACTGTCGAGCCTTTTTAAAGACACATAATAAAAACAACGCGTTTTCCGCTGACATTTCTTCATCACACTTCATTAACAGAAACTCAGACTCAACATTTACTGTGGCTTTTACATCAATTCTGTGACAAACAGCCACAAACTGTGACAGTAACCATTTCATCTGACCACAAACAGCAATGTTGCTCATATTATTATAACAAATATATGTCATGTGACATCATGGCGGGTGAGATTGTTAAAGAATAGATATGGAATATTTCAAAATGTGTTTTCTACATCACATTCATGATTATCAAAACAACATACAAGAAAGAAAATTGTAAGTAGTGAGTGAAGGGAGATAGCTCATCACCTCATTTCTGAAATTCTTAGTCCAACTTTTGTCTGTTAGTCTGTCTATACCACAAGACAAATGTGGTTTTGTAATAGTGACACTGGTGGATTCCAACCCTCTGTGCTATCCTGTGGTTACGGGAATAAACCAAAACATTTGTTACATCTTTAACGAGACAGTACTGTCCACATAATGAACTCATGCCACAGCTGTTACTTTTTGCTGCAGCTTCGACAAGAACTATTAAATATCATTCAGTGGCTAATGTGGTATTCACGAGTCCTGAGTCTAAGATTGGACTGCATAACCACAGCGGTCTTAAGATGGTGGATTCAGTGCACGGCTAATAACATGCTTTGACAGTCTTGATGCAAAAAGGAGAGTAAAGACAGCTTAATGAGGTCCTAAGACAAAGAAGACCTCATAATTTTACTTTTTTCTCTAACTTTGTTGAACAAAGTTGCCTGTGCTCACACATAGCTGAAGAAAGGTGCTGTAGACTAGTCATTGTGGATTTTCTATAATAGCCATTGATTTAAGTTTCGAAAATACAATGTCTGGCTACTGCTTTGAATTAACTTCTTCTCTTACGGGATCATTCGACTGGCGAGGGAACAGAATTTCCAGATTGACAACATTCTTGACCCAGACTGGTGACTGGTGGGTTAGCCTCCCATGTGTCCAATTATGAGCTGGTCCATTTCATGCATGCGCAACGGGTTGGAAGCACAG